TTATTAAATAATAACCAAATTTTAATTGTTAGTTTAATAGTTAATTGTGAATAATATATTGTTATTATAAATATTAAAATTATGAAATTAGATTTATTATTTTAATTGGCATTGAATTGGTATATGCTTAAAAACATTTTTAAAATCACGTAATTTAAGTTAATTAATGTAAATTATTTTTTGTATTTGATTTTTGAATTTTATAATTACTAAAAATTTCTATTTTAAAATTTTTTGCAATTTGATATACTTTTGGCTCAATAATCTAAAAGTGTCTTTAAATCTTTGATTTATTATAATCAATATTTTATAAATAAAAGTTTATTTTCAAAATAAATAATTTGTTTTTAATAACTACTAATTAGTTTATTTTAGTTAAACAATTTGTTAACTCACTTTAATTTGATTCTCTAATAATTTTATATCAATAGTGTATTCACTTAATATTTTATTTAAAATACTACTAACTTAGTTGATGTAATTTTTCAATTTTTAAGATAATTGAATCTTTAAATGTTAATATCTATATATTATAATATAATTGAAAGAAAGTGTTGCTGTCAAAAGTTTATCAAATTTTTATTTTATCATAATACTAATTATATAATATGGTTTATATTAAAACTAATTGTAATTAAAATAAATATAAATTATCGACAATTAAAACATTAAACTATTTGTTAACTTTTGCTCAATAACTGAAAGCTTCTTCGACTTTCAGCCAATCAATCAAAAAGACGATCGTTTTTATCTTGAATTATAAATTTCTTAAAAATTATTTGATTTTTTCTACAATAAAATCTAGACCTCATCATTGATACTAATAGTTAGCATTCAAAAATCTAATTACTATTTTCTATACCAAATACTATCAATCCATTGATTTGTCTCATAAATTAATTGTACCGCAAATGTGTGTTAATATAATTTTTGATAATCATATCCATTGTCTTCTATTAACTATTACATTGTTTTATGCAATTTACTATTCAATACTCATGTATTATGCAATACAAAACTATATTTTAATACTTTTTAATGTAAACTTATTTTATGCTAAATATTATGATATTTTATTATATGATATAATATTTAAAAAATATTATAAACAAATGTTTTATGACATATTAATATAAATTATTATTTAAAACCCTCATATAATTTTTTTAAATTATAATTTACAAGTATTTTATTAATGTTTATAATATTTTATTGTATGAAATATTATCATATTAAATAAATATATAATACCACAAAAAATTGATATTTTAATTTAATTATATAAACATTAAATAATTATTAAAATTATTTTTAAGAACTGTATTAATAACAAAATAGCTGAATATATTTATAGCTAATATATATTATTGTAGCCAATAATGTATTAAAATTGATAGACATTCCCAAAGCACGGTTAGATGGATAGCCCAACCAAAATGCTAGTCGACCCGACACAAATAATATATTGAGCACCGGTATCACATTGACAAGTATGTGGGGCTCGAGATATGTAACCAAAATGAGCTGCGATGCCAAAGACATAATAAACTGTTCCAATGTATTGAGGAACTGTAGTTTAGCCGATTCAGTCAGATGCTCGTTGCCTGAGGTCGGTATCATTGCCAGTGTGCCAATACGTTTGGACATTACGTGACACATAGACGCAAATAGCCAGATGACACCGGGAGTCGAGTGCCGTATAACGTACACTAAACGGGCCGAAAGTGGACGAAGCTCTTCAATATTGATACTCTGATATTTGGCAAAATCAAAGTAACCACTGAACAGACAATAACACACATTAATTAAGATAATCATAGCTATAATGCCATAAACTATCGCTTTTAGCAAAAATTTTTTAGTATCAAATTGTTGTTTCATGTTTAATGTTGACATTATTTTTTAAAAAGCATTTAATAAAATTAAATACTGTATTAATTAACTTTAATATATATGTAATTTATATAAAATATTTAATTTAATCTTTTTATAATATTACGCTTAAAATAAAATCATTGATAGTATTATATAAAATTATCTCAAATGTCATGTAGATATTGTTTGTATAATTATTTTGTAAATAAAATCTGTTAATTTACAACTTTATTGGGACTAAATTATCCCCAATTGCTAACATTGATTTAATAAATAAAAAATATTTTCTAATTGAAAGCAATTAAATTATTTTTTAAAAATAAAAATAATTTTATTTAATTATCATAAAAATTACAAATAGTAAATTCAATTAAATTTTTTAATTAACTTAAACTTTTAATAAATATCAATAGAAAATTATTAATAATACAAAAAAAACAATATTATCTATAAAGTTGATAATATTTATAAGTTATAAAAACAATAGTGATAACAGTGGGAGAAATATTCAATGATATACCAAATGCACGGTAAGTGGGATAACCTAACCAAAAGAAAAGTCGTCCCACAAGAAACAGTATGTTAAGCACTGGTATGACATTAACCATTGCCGGCGACTCGAGATATGTGACCAAAATAAGTTGCGATATCAATGACATGATAAACTGTTCCACAGTATTGAGAAACTGTAGTTTGGCCGACTCGGTCAGGTGCTCGTTGCCTGAGGTCGGTATCATTGCCAGTGTGCCCACACGTTTGGAGATGACGTGAAACATTGAAAACAGTAGCCATAGAACACCGAGAGTCGAGTGCCTCAACACATACCCAACCCGAGCACCCATAGGCTCAAGATCTTTGCTGTCGATGTTCTGGTATTTGTCAAATGCAAACCAGTTGTTTAGTAATCCGTGTGACACAAATGCTAAGACAATTATGGCTGACATTGTTTGTAGGCCAGCCCTACACATGTATTGACGCAAATTAAATCGATTTGGATTAGTAGTAGTTTTGTTTTTGGCCATATTTTTTGGTTTTAAAGTTAAATTTACTGATTATTTATATATATATTTACAATTAATAATAATAATAACAAATTAAATATAAAAAACTATTTATTTTTTTGGTTAGATATATATATATATAATGTATATAATATACAATATATTTATAATTTTAACATTAAACTTGTTTTTTTTTATAAATTAAGGTCAACTACCGTTGCTTTAGTTTATTCATTTATGTCTATATCGTATATATAGTAAATATAATAGATATATCATATATGCAGTCACTCAAATCTAGTTATATACACGTTGTATAACACGATAAACATGTTTTTAAAATAAAATGCTTTATGATTGGCTTTTTTATTGATGTATTAGATTTAAATTATTGAAAATACAGTATAATTTGATGAAACTATAGAGGGAAATTTAAATTAATTTTTATTACAGCATGTATTTTGTAATTATTTACATTAAATATATAATCCAAAAACTTTTACTATATAAAAAACTTAATAATATAATATAAATACTAAATAATATAAAGTATAAATAAATAATTAAATTATATAAAAATAGTGCTAATAATACATAAATACATTAATTTATGAATAATTTAGTATCTATTAAAAATAAAATTAATATTATATAATTAAAAAAATAAAAAAATAAAAAATACAATAATACTAGATAAGAAAACTAAATTAAATTCATTACATATCGATAGCCGACATAACCGATGGCAGTTATACTAGGGATGATACTTAACTGAAATCCCGGTCCCCGATATCGGGGATAGCCAAGGTAAAACAGCACCCGTCCCACAAAAAATAGTCCATTCATTATCGGTATTACGTTTAGTACTTGTTCAGGGTTCAGATATATGACCAGGATCAATTGGGCAAAAACAGTCAGTATAAACTGTTCAAAAGTATTTTGCAATATATTTTTGGGTAACTGTATCAGATGGTCTTTACCGTCTATAGGATTGCCGGCACCTTTGGCTCCACGTTGAATACCCACATTCATAATGCTGAACACCAGGAACAGTAGGCCGGGTGTCAAGTTTATCAATACAAACTCCAGACGCGGCCCAATCTGTTTGAGTGAGTCGGCTCGGGTTCCTTGAAATTGTTTGATATTTATTAGTCCAATGTATAGTCCAAACGCAACAATGGCCACTACGGCCATACCGATGACCTTTAGCACACCGGCACTTATGAGTTGTGACTCCGTTTGTTTTTTAGATGATTTTTCATCATTTGTCAACATTTTTAATATTGGTGTATTTTTAAAAAAATATACACAATTGACAATAAAAACCTTGAATAACTTTTTTTTGGTTGTTGTTGATATAGTTATGAACTTTTTTTATTTAGTTATTTGATAAAAAAATAATCTTAATAAAAATATTTTTAAAAATATTTTATTATCACATATAATATAATGATATATAGGATATATATTCAGTATATATACTAAAAGTTTGGCCAAAAAAACAATGTTTTTATATTGAATTTATTATACAGTAGTTTAATGGGAGAAAGTACACAATGCACTAAATTATTGCCACTAATTATTAGTTGTCAGAAATATTCAGTCATTAAAATTTAGTACATAATAATGAAACAAGTTTTTAAAATAAAATAATTTATGATTGGCTTAGTTTAGTATATTCTATAGTTTTTAAATTATTGAAATCATAGTGTGGCAGTATATTGCATATTATAAAATTATAGATAGAAATACAATTTAAATTAAGTGAAGTATTAGTACATTATTTATTTAATAATATTTTTACATTTAAATATATAATGAATGAAATTTAACTAAAAAACACTTTTAGTCTACAAAATATGTATTATCTAAATGTATTATAATTCACTTACTGTTGTAAATTAAAATATTACAGGTAATAAAAATTTATAATTCTTATTGTTTCAAAATATAAACATATTATTAAAATCAAATTCATAAAATAATTTTATGAATTATATTTTTATTTAAATATAATTTAATTTGTCATTTTATAAAATCATTTAAATATATATTTAAGATAACAAAGATATAATTTTTTAATTAAACTTAAAAAAATTAAAATACAACTAAATAAAAAAAAACCTACACTAAATTCAGTACATATCGATAGCCGACATAACCGATGGCAGCCATACTCGGAAAGGCGCTCAACTGAAATCCCAATCCCCGGTAATTAGGATAACCAATGAAAAACAGTACCCGTCCAACAAAAAACAGTCCGTTCATTACTGGTATTACGTTAAGTACCTGTCCAGGGTTCAGGTATGTGACCAGGATCAATTGGGCAAAAACAGATAGTAATAACTGTTCAATAGTATTCTGTAGTATATTTTTCGGTAACTGTATCAGATGGTCTCTACCGGCCGCTGGATTTTCGGCACCTTTAGCTCCACGTTGAATACCCACATAGATGATGCTGAATAACAGGAACAGTAGGCCGGGTGTCAAGTTTCTCAGTACAAACTGTAGCCGAGGCGCTATCTGTTTGAGTGTATCGGCTCGAGTACCCTGAAATTGATTGATATTTAGTCGGCCACTGTATAGTCCAAAGGCAACAATGGCCAGAAAGGCCATACCGACGGCCATCAAAGCACCGGCACCTTTAGGCTTTGGCTCCCTTTGCTTTTTCGGTGATTTATCATTATCATTTGTCGACATTTTTAACAGCTCTGGTGTCTTTTTTAAAAAAATATATATATATACAGTTAGCAAACAACAAAATAATTTTTAAAAAAACAAACAAATATAATTTATATATAATACCTGGATAACTTTGTTTATTTGGTAAAATATTATAATTATTAGTTATTATAAAATAATCTTAGTAAAAAAAAATTTTACTAGCAATAATTTTATAATTATTATACACAACATAAATTTATATATATATATATATATATATATATATTATATATAAAATTGTATTTATATTTAATATTTTGTAGTAAAATGGGAAAAGAAAGTTCTCGATGTACTAAACATAGCTGTCATATATTATGAGTGAACAAAACAAAGTTGTCATAGAAATGCTATATAAATAATTGTATATATAATCTATAGTTTCACATTTAATTTTTATTTATAAAAAACTGCATTAATATATCATGTTTAGTTATGTAATACTGTACATAATTATCCAATACGACCTTCGACAATATAATACAACATCAAAAATAAAGTGAGCAAATGTAGAAAGTGTATGAGAATGCCAAGGTCAATTCAATTCAATTAGTGCAACTGTGCACCAGTGTCTGTGTTTGACAATTATATTGAAAAGTACATTAATGGTAGTGTTTTGCTGTAAATTTATGTTTACTATAAAAAAATATTAATTTAAATCATATTTTTGAAATTTTTAAAAAATATTCTTAATCAGGAATATAAAATGTGCAAATAAAATTATGCTTATATAAATATAATTAAAAAATTATTTATAATTAAATACATTATAATATTTTTTTATAATAAAATTATATAAAAATTCCAACATATTTATAGCTAATATAATTTATAGTTAAAGTATTAATGTTTGGTATAAAATGTCAATGTCTATCGATATTTTAAGTATCAATTGAATATCATTATCTGAAAACTACATGTAATAGATATCATAATATAATTTATCTTATTATTATTATTAAACATTATTTAAGATTATATTAATAGTTAAACAAATAGTATTAAATAAATTATGAATGTTATAAAATTGTTTTTTAAAAAATTAACTCAAATTACAGTAAATTAAAAGTAAAGTAAATTAAAAATTACATAATTTATTGACTATATATTTTTTTAAAAAACAACGTTAGTACAGTATAAGTAACAAATAGAAAGAATAAAAATATATAATTATTGTAAAAAATTAAACAAAAATTGCAATATATTTATAACCAAGATAAACAGCAGTAATTTGTATTGGTAAAAATGATAATATAAAACCCAGTGATCGGAAACGAGGATAGCCGATAAAAAATGCTACCCGTCCTGTAATAAAAATTAGGCTAAGCGTGGGTATAATATTGATAATGGTTGCCGGTTCCAATAGGGTGACCAAAATCAATTGGGAAACCAGTGACAGTATAAACTGTTCAAACGAGTTGAGTGTTATATTTTTGGCTATTTGTGTCACTTGTTCGTAGCCGGCACAGGGATCCATTGCCGGCGATCGTATCCGTAACCAGACTACATAAGTCAAACAAAATACTAGCCATAGGACACCGGGAATCGAGTGCTGTAACACATACTGCCAACGGGCCGGTAGCTGTTGGAGTGAATCTACTTTAATGCCTTGAATTGATGCAAAATCCAGATGTCCCGTCCAAAGTACGATTGCTATGACACTCACGACAACAAACCCCGCTATCAGATAAGGTATGGCACCTCTCTTGAAGACTTTCATTTGTTGTCTTTCCTCAATAGTATAGTTTTTAGTTGAAAACATTATTACTATTATTATTTTTTATTATTTTGTTTCACAAAATTTTGTAATTAATTTGAATTCAGAAATATTTCAAACAAATAATTTTAAAATTACTTAAATGAACAGAGTGCTTTTTTGAAATAACAAGTTTTATTTATTTTTTAAATAAAATAAATATTTTGTTGTTGAATTTCTGATCAATCAAAACGATTATAAATTAATTAATAATTTTTTTTCTTGTATATACTGTTTATGCCATCAAACAGTATTCAAGTTATAAATGGGTTTGTATTTTAATACTGTATTTGTTGAGAGCCAATAACAATACAAAAATAATTTATGCTAATTAGTGATATTGAATTTAATGTTTTTATGTTTAAAAAACATGTTTTGATATAGTAGTTTGCAATTAACTAAACTTAGTCTACTAACTAAACTAACTTAAACAAGTACTCAATCGTTAATTTATTTTTAATATATTTATTTTTTAAAAAAAAGTACATTAATGAATATAAAAAACATTTATTTTTATACAAAATTAAACAAATAATTTGACATATCTATAACCAATAAAGATTACAATAAAAAATGTTGGTATAAATGTCAATACAAAACCCAGTGAACGTTTACGGGGATAACCGAGAAAAAATGTTAACCGTCCGGCAATGAACAGTAGGTTAATGGCTGGTATGACATTGATAATGGTTGCCGGTGCCAAATGTGTGACCAAAATTAATTGAGATACCAATGACAGTATAAATTGTTCCAATGAGTTGAGGGCTATGTTTTTGGCCAATTGTGTCAAGTGTTCAAAACCGGCACTGGGATCCACTGCCGGTGTCTCCACGCGACGCGAGATTACGTAAATCAAACAAAAGATAAGCCATAGGACACCGGGAGTGGAGTGCTGTAAGACATACTGCCAACGAGCCGGCAGTTGTTGCAGTGAATCGGCTTTTATGCCTTGAATTTGTCCAAAATTGGGTATTCCTATCCATAGACCGATTCCTACTGCAGCTAATATGGCAAACCCGATGCCAGCTAACGGAGCGGCGCCACTCTTGAAGTCATCAATTTGTTTCTTCTCTTTATCCGTATATTTATTATTTGATGACATTATTATTATTATTTAAGTTATTAACAAATTATTATTATTTATTAATAAATTTAAAAAATCACTTTTTAAATGACTTAAAAAACTAAATTTACTTAAATTTAGTGTAATTTATAACATTTTTTTATCTAAATTAATATTTTATATCTTTATCTATCTAACGATAACAAATCAATTTTCTTTTAGTATTCAATTATATTATATATACAGTACTGTATATTTAGTACTGTATTAACTCTAGTATTTTTTAACTCTGATAGCAAATATAATTTACTGATATTGAAAATACTGTTTTACAAAAAACATGTTTCCAGAGACAAAGTTTGCACTTAATTGCACTAAAATAGTACTCAACTGTCTATTTAATTAAAAGCCATCATTTTTATATAATGTATTAACATATTGAAGTCACCATTTAATTGCATAATTGTATTATATTTAATGTTATCTATATTTTATAACTGTAAACAAAAACTATGAATATTAATATACTGTATAGAATCTATACTATAGATAATATAAAACAAATTAGTTTACTGGTAGTTAATATCGAGAATAGTTTTTTTTTAATTATTAATTTATACAACAATATTACGATAAAATTCTATAAATTTAGTAATAGTTAATAATTTTTGTTTTTAAAACAAAATAAAACTAAATAATGTCTGAATTGAACTTTTATTTTTATCGGAAATAACTTTTCCGATGTCAATGAAATATTTTTATCAATAATGTTATAAAATTGTTATAACAGTTATTATAAAAATGTTATTTACATTAATTTATTAGATAATAATAATTATTATTATTATTTACATAGTTTAAAGTAAAAATGGGATGATAGCTTTTCGCTGGGACGGGTAGGTTTTGAATTTAGCTAAATACCACTGATGTTTGTGTAGTGCTAGAAATGACATATAAACCCAAACAAATAAAGTCAATAACCACCAGCTCACTGACTGACCGCCCAATACAACAATGATAGCCAAATAGACGATGATTTCGGCAAAATAATGAGGTGACGACACGTACTCAAACAACTGTCCTCTCGGTATATAATGTCCACCGGAACGACCTAATAATTATTCAATTATTAATATATATTTTTTAAATTAGATTTTATTATTCAATTCAATAAAATCCTACCTTTTCTCAGATTAACAAGTATTAGATGACTACTAAACTCTAACCACCAAAATGTGGCAAACAATAGACAGCCAACTATATGATTGAATGTCAAAAAGTTTGCTAATTTCATATTATAGTTGATTGAACCTGGACAATTATTTTTTTTAAAAATAACTAAGTATAATTTATGATAATTACAACATATGCAAGTTTTTATTTTTTTTGAAATACCAGATAACAGTGCCGGTACTTCACATAGTATGGCCAGTGTAACCATTGGATAGTATAGATAGGCACCAAAATATGATATAATATTAAATGTTTGCAGATTTGACTTAAATAACAGTCCATTTTCATAGAGACGACGCGTCACTTGAAATGTCATCAAAATTACGGCCAATATTGCCGACTCTTCGGTAACTAAAATACAACATTAATTATAATAAATAAATATTAATTTTTTCAATATATAAATATTTAATTTATTTTAATTTAATTATTTTTGTTTTAATTATTTATTTACACCTGATGAATTTTTATGATTAACATCCAATGAGTTTAATATTGCTAATATAAATTGCGGAACATTTTGTTTGAGATAATATACGTTAAACAATATATATAGAAAATAGAAATTAACCAAGGTGCCAAACACATAAAAATGCCACATGTTCCTATATATCATATATACCGTATATAGTACCAAAAAAAATCAAAAAATTAATAACTTTATAAAAAAATAATTTTAAAATTTTAAATATTACTTTTTATTTGTAGTCATAAATTTCATAATTTTATTTGGCTTATGTCCCGGTGCCGGTGGCTTGTTGTAAACAGCTAACTGTTGCCATGTTTTCGATATACGACTGTTTGGCCAACAAAAACTAACTAAACCACCGATAATTATATTTAATGTGTTAAAAATGTAGACAATTTGTAGCCAATTTAATAACATTGTTTAGAAAATATATAATTTATTATATATATATATATTTTGTTTTAAATGTTTAAAATAATAATATATTAATAATAATCTATAAATTAGACACATGTATAAAATAAATGATAAATTTAGATTTTTTTAATTTAATTTTTTTGTAGTTATAATAATAATAACTATAAAGAAGTTTATACTGTATTTCATGCGCACAGTTATCATACATACAGTAATCAAATAGATTATTAATATAAGATAATACTGTATAACCTAATTGTATAAATAATAATGATTATTATTTTAATGACAAATCAAATATTAAGTTATTTTCAAATTAAATAGTATAATAATTTTATATTATATAAATTATATACCGAAAGTTAGTATACAATCCCATAAAAATTTATCAGGTTAATTATATTATTAAAATTTATAAAATTTTGAATTGTCTATACAAATAATATTTTATAACATTAGAATAATCTAGGTAGAATAAACTTTTATTTAAAAATCTATTTAAATTTATTTAACTTTTTAATAAAAAGCATTGTAAAAAATTTGTAAAAACTAATTAATATCAAATCATTAAAATTAAATGAAATTTTAATACTATAATAATTAATTTTTAAAATTAAACTAATAATTCAAATAATTAGTGTAAAAAACAATGAATAAAATCTACATTGCAAATCATACTGATATTTTAGTATATTTATGTAATTTAATTATCATAAACATATAATAAATATAATGTATTAAAAATTTTACTTATTTATTCATTAAAAAGTTTTACTAAATATAATATTTTTTTTAAAATATTAGTAATTTATCATATTATAATTAATAACTTAATACAATATAAAATATTATGCAAAATAATTTATATTATTAATAAAATATTACAATATTTTCAATGCAATTATTATTTTTTGTAATTTCCCAATATAATATGTTAAACATTTTTAAGCTAAAAAATCAAGTTTTCTACAAAATAAATAAATAAAAATTATGAATTATTTTTTTGAAACAATACAGTAATTAACAATTATAAATAACTGTCAAACCTGTAAACAGTTAAATATAATTTATTAACTTTAATAATATTTAAAAATTATTTTTATATGATTAATATTTCAGATTTATATACTACATAACAATTATTTACAAAAATACTTTTAAGTTTTAAATACAAACTTTTATAAATATGTTTTGGCGCAAAATTAGCATTAAAAATAAAGCAGTATTAATAACTGGTAAAAATTATGAGTTAATTTTATTTAATATATTAATATTTATAATACATTTTAATTAATAATTTTTATTATAGCTGTATATATATATATATATATATATTATAACTGTTTTAAATAACTACTGTATTTAATAAATAATAATTTTTTATTAGTTATTTTATTATATATATTTTTTAATAATCAATTATACAAATAGGTTGTGACTCGGGTTTCGGTAACCGGTTAGCGATTCGGTTAAATGAAATCGGGTTTCGCGTCTATGCAACTGTTTTGGATGAAATGAGTTTTGGTTCACAACAGTTGCCGCTAAACTGTAAACATACGGATAGGATGTGTGTCTTGGAAATGGATGTCACCCGAGAAAACCAAATTGACCGGTGCTTCGAGTTTGTCACTAGCGATCTCCGGACAAATGGCGGAGTTTTGTGGTCAGTGATCAACAACGCCGGTATACTGACCTACGGGCACATCGAATGGGGTCAGTTCGGCGAACATTTCGGGCGTGTATTCGATGTCAACTTGTTTGGTGTGATTCGTGTTACCCGAAAATTTTTGCCACTTATTCGACAATCAAAAGGTTTTTTTGACAACAATTTTGTTAAAATAAATTAAATAAAAAATTAAATTAACTTAACTGTTATTATCTTATTTGTATTTAACAATACATATCTGTAGGTCGTATAGTAATAGTGTCGTCATTGGGCGGCCGTATCTCATCAGACAACCTGAGCGCCTACTGTATGTCAAAGGGAGCGGTCATAACGTTTGCCGATGTTTTGCGACGAGAAATGCGAAAATTCAAAGTAAACGTCTCGACAATTGAACCGACATTTTTCAAAACTGGTGTCTATGGGGAACAGGTGCCAGCGTTTGAACACAATTGGCAAACTACTAATACCGGCGTACAGGAGGTGTACGGCCAGCAATATTTTGCTGAACAACTGAAACTACTTGAGCGTCGCCGTCGACTTTCCCGATGGAGTTCACGACTGGACATTGTAGTCGACGATATGATCGATGCCGTTGTCAGCCGCAATCCAAACCGATGTTATCAACCGGTTAATATATGGCCACTCAAATTGGTAGTTATAGTTTTGCCGCTTATACCTAACTGGCTTATTGATTGGTCAACATATATGATTGATCCAACTGTTCCCAATTATATGAGAAGTAATGATCAATAAAATGTCAAATATATATATATAAAGATAGAGATAGTATAAAGAACTATAAATAACTATAATGTAATATAAAAAAATTATTTATTTATAGAAAGTATGATATTAGAAATTTTTATAAATTGTATTTACATTTTATTATAAAATCTTAAAAATCTTAATAAAATAATATAATTGTAAGGTTACATACTTTCAACAAATTTTATTTTCCAAATACAGTATTATATAATAGTATACAATACTTGATTTGCAAGATTAATACTAATATATTAATAGTATTTTATTTTTGTTGAATATATAATGAGCATAATTATAATGTTTTTATCGTAACAATAAATCTCTTTTTATTTAATATTTCAATTATTAGAGATAAATAAACATTTAAAATAAAATTAATTAATAATTTCTAAAGAATTTTTTTTAATGTTTTAATTATAACTATATTAGTTATAATTAATTTGTAATATTTAAACTGTACTTATAATATCTGTCTATTCATGTTTGTCTAATGTAAGATAATTTAGATAATTTTATTCATAGTATAGTATTATATATAATATAGTAAAATATATCTATAATTATGTATATATCTAAATACTTTTTTATTAACTGCAATAATTTTAAGGAAAATATTACTTTAATTTATATACAACTCACATGAAGTATCTATTATCTAATTATTATTAATTTCCATAATTACAATGTATTTTATTTAATATACAGTATGTATTACAAACTAAATATAAATTTAACAGATAGTATTCAAAAACATTTACTATTATAAATAATATATTTAGAAATATTAACTATTAAGTTAATTAATAATTAATTATAATCGTATAATAATTATCATATAATGACTTTATAGGCAATATTTATAAAATTAAAACTTTTACTTAAGTATAAGTAAAAGTTTTATAAATTTATCATTACATTAAATAATTATAGTTTACATTTATACTAAGGATTATTAAAAATATACTCACATATTACTGGAATATAATAAAATCACAGTATATTAAATGAAAAAATTTTAGTAATATATGATAATAATGTATTAGTGAATACTAGTAATTATTTTATTATTATTAGTAATATTCATAATTACTGTATTTATTTTTCATATTATTTGAAATATTTGTTATTAAAAAAAATTTGTTCAACAAATATGTATTTAATTGAAATTATTTTACCTATTCTTTGGATGACAACCATTGAGTTTTTGCAGCGAATCTTCGGCTTCAGAAATAATTGCAAAAGTTTACGGCAATTGAATGGACAGATAGTTGTGATAACCGGCGCCAACTCTGGTATCGGCAAAGAGACGGCCCGCGAATTAGCAAATCGTGGCGCAAAAGTAACTTAATTATTGATTAATTGATTCATAGATAGATATAAAATATTTATTATTATTTTATTATTAATTAACAAAACAAAATAAATTAGATAATCATAGGATGTCGTGATATGTCTAGAGCTGAGTCAGCCATCAATGATATCAAAGAGAGAAATCCAATGGCAGACATAATTGCAATGAAATTGGATTTGTCATCAGTAGACTCTATCCATCAGTTTGCTAAACAATTAAAAAAAAATTATGACACAATCGATATACTGATCAATAATGCAGGAGTTGCTATGCAAGAGCACAGGCAAACTGAGGATGGCTTTGAATTGGTGTTTGGGACCAACCATTTAGGTATACTATGGGATCATTTTGTCCCAATAATTAATGACAATTAAGACAAAACATAAATGATATAATGATTTTGTTGCACTTTTTTAGGACACTTTTTGTTAACACTTTTGATACTACCATTACTTCGACGAGCACCCAAAGCCCGGGTTATAACTGTGGCTTCTTGTGCTTATATACACGGATCGATCAAATTTGATGACATCAATAGTCTTGAAGAGCCGTACGATATGTGGTCAGTTTACGGTCAAAGTAAACTGGCAAACATATTGTTCACACGTGAATTGGCCAGACGTTTGGGCACCGATTCGTCTATCAATACATATGCTGTTCATCCGGGTTGTGTCCACACAGATATCGGCCGCAATGTTAGCTCAAGATTTCAACAGTTAGTCATAAAATTGTTGGGAACTTTATTTCTGTTGAGCGCCGAATCGGGAGCTCAGACAACATTGTATTGTGCTATACATGAGAAGCTCGACAGAGAAACGGGCGGTTATTATGAGTCAGTTGTTTATTATATATTAATTAATTGAAATATATATATATATGACAATTAATATTTATATATATATATATATATTAAAACATAAATTTTTTTTTTATTAGAAACTGTCGTCGAGTGAAGAAATTGTCGCCTAAAGCTACTGATGATCAGTCGGCCAGACGTTTATGGCAATTGAGCGCACAGTTAGTTCAAATTGAAAAACAATTTGATAGCCTTTTTGGATGAATTGATATCTCTTGTTGTTTTTTAATGAATTTATATTTTTGAGTTTATATGTAAATTTACAAATAATATCTTGTTTTAAAAATCAAATATGTTTTATACAAAAAAAATTCATTATTTTATTTTTGTACAAAAATAATACAATTTCTTTATATTTTATTATATTATATAATTCAATATTTAATTTAATAATACAGTATTAATTAATAATTATTTTTATAAATATTTTATAGTAATTTAGCTAAATTTATATTAACAAATAAATATTAACATAACATAAATACGGTAATTATGAAATTATTATAAATAAATAGTAAACTAGAAAATAGCTTAAAATTATGAGTCACACAATAAATCATATATTAGTTTTACAAAATATATTAATTGTAATTTATTTCACTAAATATTGCAAATACTGTACTATGAATGTACTGTATTTAGTACATTCATAGTACAGTATTTGCAATAATATTAATAAATACAGTAATATATTTATATACATATAGTATTATACATATAGTATACTAAATATTACTGCTAAAATATTTGATTGAAATATTTGAAATCGTTATCAAATAATAATTAAATAATGTCTTTTTAAAAATTTTTGATATTATTTGATATTTTTTTGAAATATAATTTATATATTTTTTGTAAAACTAATATATTAATATTGTAATAATAATATTGTGTGACTGTATTTACTCGACTATAGTTTAATACATTATATTATCTTTTTCTGAAATGTATGAAATAATTGCAATTATAGACTTTAGCACTTCAACAAATTTAATGCACATTTAAAGTAAAAGCAATTAATATAAATTTATGTACAATATTTGAAATATTAATATATAAATTACTATTATATAAATATAATTAAAAATGGAAAATTATAATTTTATTTATAATACTAATTGATTAACAATTATAATATTGTTTTAATTTTTAATTAATTTTTTTGAAAAAAATTAGCTTTATATTTTATTAAAATTATAATATAAAAAGAAATTTTCTTATATTTGTCATAATCTAACAATATTTTTAAATAAATGTTGACTTCTAAATACAATTAAATTTAATTATATTTATTTATAACTATAAAATTAAATAAAATTATAATTATCTAATTGTTAATTTTTATGCTCGTAATGATAAAAAAAATTTTATGATAACAATTAACTGATAATATAGTGTAAATATACAACTATTCATGCGCAATGATTAATAATTATTATATAAAACAACATTAACAACATTAGTATTTAACTAATATTAGGGAATCATTTTTTTTAGTTATTTATTATCTATCATCATTATATGATCATAATAATATCATCATCATAACATATTTGACACAAAAATATCATAATTATTTTTATTTAATGTCTTTATTTTATATATTTTATTTAATTTAAAGTTTTTAATTTGTTTAAAAAAATAAATATATATTTTAAAAATATGAATATAATTGAATTAATTTCTACGATTATCGGTATAATAATTGAATTCATACAAAATGCTTTCGGTTTGAGAAATAGATGCGATAGTAAACGTCAATTGACCGGACAGTTAGTTGTGATTACCGGTGCCAACACTGGTATCGGCAAAGAGACAGCACTTGATTTAGCAAAACGTGGAGCAAAAGTAAGTTTCATAAGCTGTTCACAAAAAAAAAGTTTATTGTTTTATTGTTAGAAAATTTAATTTTAATATTTATTTATTTATAAATTTAAAAATCAGATAATTATCGGATGTCGGGATGAATCGAGAGCCGAGTCGGCCATCAAAGACATTAAGAAAATTTATCCGAAAGCAGACATCAGATCAGCGAAACTGGATTTGTCTTCACTGGTGTCGGTCCGCGAGTTTGCCCAACGTTTGGCACACGAAGAGACCAAATTGGATATATTGATCAACAATGCAGGCGTCGGAATGATACCCGATATGAGAACCAATGAGGACGGGTATGAACTGGCATTTGCCACAAATCATTTGGGTAATCATTTTTTTAGAGAGATTATTATATTTTTTTGAGCATGCTCATTTGTTATGTTAATTAACAGTATATTAATTGTTAGGTCATTACTTGTTAACCTTATTACTGTTGCCGTTACTCCGGGAGGCGCCACGTGCTCGGGTAGTCAATGTGTCGTCACTGGTTCACAAGTTTGGCAAAATTTACTTTGAAAACATTCATCTGCGAAACGGTGCCTATGAAATGAACAGGGCTTACGCCCAAAGCAAGTTGGCTAACATACTGTTCACTAGAGAGTTGGCCCGTAGGCTGGGCCGCGAGTCTACGGTCACTGTCTATGCATTGCATCCGGGAATCATTGCCACTGAGTTTTTGCGATACGACGATTCGCCAATCAGGCGGATGATCAACAAACTGATGATCCGTTTTATTGGTCTGACACCCGATTTGGGCGCTCAGACCACACTCTACTGCGCTGTTGACGAGTCACTCGACAACCAAACCGGACATTACTATGAGTTTGTTTTATTTATTTTATTTTAGTTTTTTTAAATATACTTTATTTACATGTAGTTTATGATTAATTTTAATTTATTTTTTTTGATTAATTTTTTTCATCAGTAATTGTCGTCGCATTGATTCGCTGTTATCTCATGTGACAGACAACAAGTCCGCCGAAAAACTATGGGATTTAAGCTCCGATTTGGTTAAACTCGACCCTCAATACAATATACCTTCAAAATAATAATAACTTTCAATAAATTTGATTTTTATTATTTGTTTAATATATATGTATTTTAATTTTTTAAATAATTATTTTTTGTTATTTTAATAACTTAATATAATTAATTTATTAATTACTTTAAGTTATATTATAATAATAGTACAGTTAACAAATAAATTTATTAGAAATTTATAAAGTAATTATTATTTGATGATGTATTTTAAATATTAAAATACCATTTATTTAAAAAACACTAAAAGCTTATTTTTAATTATTTTAAATTTGACAAGGTAAAAATTGGAATTTTTGAACAATGCATTTAATTAATTTTTTTTAAAAAACATTTCTATCAAACAATTGTAATTATTAAATTGGTACAAAACAAATACATAGATTAGTAATGCATAATAATAATAATAATAATAATAATAATAATAATAATAATAATAATAATAATAATAATAATAATAAAAAACAGGTAAAATTACTAAAATATATTATTAGCGTTTAATATAAAATTATAGTTATATATTGATTATATAATATTCAGTACAGTAATGTACTTTAAAAATATCATAATATGAATAAAATAGAATTAAATTTTATGAGCATGCTCAATTAATAATAAATACAGTATATATATATATATATATATATATATATATATATATATATATATATATATATATATATATACTGTAGATATATATATATTTAAACATAAAGTTGAATAATTTAAATAACATTAAATATTTTTAATTTATTTTAATAAACAAATTATGGACTTAAAGTTTTGTGAAAAAGTTGGTTTAGTTTATGAAGGGGGGAAAGAATTAACTGGAAATGCTGTCGGATATAGAAATAAATGCAAAAGTAAGAGACGTTTGGATGGACGGGTAGTTGTTATTACCGGTGCCAATCAGGGCATCGGCAAAGAAACTGCTTTACAGTTATCATTGAGAGGAGCAAAGGTATTAGTGATTGAAAAAATAAATATTTTTCAAAACTAATTATAAAACTATTTGAATAAATTTTTGTAAAACTGATTGTTATTACTATTAATAGATAATTATCGGATGTCGTGATCTGACTAAAGCCGAGAATGCCATCAAAGATATCAACGAAACAAATCCAAAGGCAGACATAAAGGCACTGAAACTTGATTTGGTTTCATTGAAATCTGTCCGCGAGTTTGCCCGACAAGTCACTGAAAACTGTAACTCAATTGATATACTTATCAATAATGCCGGCGTTAATATACCGGAGCGTAGAGAAACTGATGATGGACTTGAATATCAATTTGGTGTCAATCATTTAGGTAATTAATTGCAGTATATGTATGTAAAATATATAATAAAATATGCCTAATATCTTAATAAAATAATTACTGTATTTTAGCTCACTTTCTACTAACTCTACTACTGTTACCATTACTCCGGAAGGCATCGACTGGACGTGTGGTGAACGTAGCGTCAAGTGTTCATCGGATGGGAAAAATTGATTTCGACGACATTCAGACAGTTAGCAGACCGTACAATATGATGGCGGTCTACGGTAGCAGCAAATTGGCACAGATATTGTTTACCCGTGAATTGGCCCGACGTCTGGGATCCGATTCAAATGTCAACGTCTATGCCCTCCATCCGGGAGGTGTGCGAACAGAGTTGGCTCAAAATGTTTTGTCGGACAACACCAATAAGATTACCGGAGCCGTTACCAATGTCATGTCCAAAGTGTTTTTGTTAGACATTCAATCGGGTGCCCAGACATCACTGTATTGTGCCATCGATGAGGCCGTCGATAATGAAACCGGATTATACTATGAGTTAGTATTTGTTGTAAAAATTTATATAATAAATAAATATAAAAAATTATTTTTTAATCCAATTTTTAGAAATATATTAACTTTTGTTTTGTTATTGATATRTAGAAACTGTCGTCGTATTGATAAAATGTGGCCAAAAGCTATCGATGACGAGTCGGCTAAACGTTTGTGGGATTTAAGCGTCGATTTGGTTAAACTCGAAGATAAATATAATTTATTATAAATTAAATACTATTTTAAATAATAAATAAAATTATTATTATTATTATTTTAACACGTTATTCATTGTTTAAGCTAATAAGATAAACGTAATGCACATAATGTATATAAAATTTATTATAAAATATTTTTCAATTTATAAACAAAAATAAAACCACAATTAAAAATAATTATAATTAACAGTAATTTTTAATTTTTATGTAACTTGTAATAAAAATATCATAAATTTTATTTTATTTTATGTTATTTAACTAGCAATCATTATAATTATATAATGTAATGTATTTAAATTTTACATTGTTTTTATATAATATAGTAAAAAGTGATAATGTTCATCTAATAAATTATCTGTAATCTGATAAAAAAAAAGTTTGGTATTAAAATTATTATTATTAATAACAATAATATAACACTATGATTACAATTGATTTAAACTGTTAATAAATCAAATTACTAATTAATTAACTTATAATACTTGAATTTATTTTTTTATTACTGTATATACAAAATATCTACAAAATAAATTACCTGTAGTAATTGATATAAATTTAAGTAACTTATTAATTAGTTACTATATTTATTTAATTTTTTATCGCATTATAATTTAATAAAATGATTATAATAATTATAAGTACAACAGTGTACTAAATCAATACATAATACAGTTATACATATAGTAATAATGCAAATTAAAATAATACAAATCTAACCTTGTACCTCTACAATAAATACAGTCTTATATTAGAGTTTAATATTTATTTATATTGAATATACTGTAGTATAAATTACTTACTTGTTAGTACACTATTGTACTTATATAATATCAAATAAATTTATCTAAATATATGATTTTTATAGCATTCAATGTTGTCGACATCAACTTAATAATTAATAACAATAATAATTTTTTTTTAAAAAATGCTAGCATATATAAAGTTGAAAAATAAATATGATATTAAAAATAAATTGCTTAGTAAAACAAACATATAATAAAATATATTTTTTTATTATAATAAGTTTATTTTGATATATAATCATGGATTTGACATTTGGTGAAAAAGTTAGTTTAGTTTACGAAACTATTAAAGATTTGTTTGGAAATGCTGTCGGATATAGAAATAAGTGCCAAAGTAAAAGACGTTTAGATGGACGGGTAGCTGTTATTACCGGTGCCAATCAGGGCATCGGCAAAGAATCCGCTTTACAATTATCATTGAGAGGCGCAAAGGTAATAGTTATAGAAATTAGACATAAAAAGTGTCTATTTTTTGTTGTTGTTGTTTAACTTACAGTATTAAAAATATGTGATAATTATTTTCATAAATTATTTTTGTAAATTTTATTACTAACTTTTTTATTATTGTTATTACAATAAATAGATAATTATCGGATGTCGTGATCTGATAAAAGCCGAGAACGCCATCAAAGATATTAAAAAAACAAATCCAAAGGCAGACATAAAGGCAGTAAAACTTGATTTGGTTTCATTGAAATCTGTCCGCGAGTTTGCCCGACAAGTCACTGAAAACTGTAAATCAATTGATATACTTATCAATAATGCCGGCGTCAATGTACCGGAGCGTAAGGAAACTGATGATGGACTTGAATATCAATTTGGTGTCAACCATTTAGGTATATTAGTTTATTTTGTATAATACAATTTACTATACTTAATATATGCTAATTTACAATTATTAGCTCACTTTCTACTAACATTACTATTGTTACCATTACTTCGGAAGGCATCGACTGGACGTGTGGTGAACGTAGCGTCAAGTGTTCATCGGATGGGAAAAATTGATTTCGACGACATTCAGACAGTTAGCAGACCGTACAATATGATGGCGGTCTACGGTAGCAGCAAATTGGCACAGATATTGTTTACCCGTGAATTGGCCCGACGTCTGGGATCCGATTCAAATGTCAACGTCTATGCCCTCCATCCGGGAGGTGTGCGAACAGAGTTGGCTCAAAAGTCTATGTCAGACAACTCAAAAATTACCGGAGCCCTGTCCAGTGTGTTCGGTAAAGTGTTTTTATTGGACATTCAATCGGGTACACAAACATCACTGTATTGTGCAATCGATGAAGCAGTCGATAATGAAACCGGATTTTACTATGAGTTAGTAGTAATCAATTATAAACATTTTGATATTAATATAATATTATTATTATTTCTTTGTTTATTATTATAGAAACTGTCGTCGTTTTGATAATATGTGGCCAAAAGCTATCGATGACGAGTCGGCTAAACGTTTGTGGGATTTGAGCGCAGATTTGGTTAAACTCGAAGATAAATACAATTTACCAAAAATTAATAATTATTTTAAATAATTTTATAACAATATATAAACAATATATTGTATTTACATAAAAGAATATATTTTTATTAATTAAATAAATACTATAATTTTTATTATAATTAAATATTTAAAAATAAAATCATTAATAATATAAATTAATTATATTAGGGAACTCTACACATTTGCTATTTATTTAATATCTTGATTTTTCATCTAAATAATTACTTAAATAATATTCATAGTATGTCTTGTTTTTTATTATTTTAAAAGCATATTTTGAGTTAATTAATAAATAATTAATTATCTTTTACGTTTAAATATAACTAAAATTAAACTTTTATTAATGTAATTAATTATTTTCTTTTAGTATTTAACTATTTTTTAACAATATTTATTTATATTAAATTTCTTATAAATAAAAAAAGTTTTCGGAGCCGAAAAATGGTTGGGGTGTCTCTTAACTTTTTGACTCTAGGTCAAGGGGTAAGATACAAAAAAATCGTGATCTCAGGAGGATAAACGGGTTTATCCCCTACCTTCCCCATAACGCAACCCTGATTAAATATTATGCTATATTAAACTTGTAAGCAAATAAAGATATTTTGCTAAACATAACATTGCATATTCAATATACTGTATACTATTATTATTATATTTAAATTTATTTAGTACAGTATTTGATAAACCAAAAGCACTAACTAATCTTTTTTTTTTGTTGTAATAATTTTTATCTATAAGTCCAACAATATACTACTATAAATGTATAATTATTATATCTTATTAAAATAATAAATCTATAAAAAATAATAATCAAATATATTAGCTGACATTGATTAGTACATATTTTTTTTAATAACATATACAGTATATAAACACATGTTTCCAGTTATGCAGTATTCAGTATTCATACTAAAAGTTATATATTTTTAATATTTTTTAAAAAGTTTATAATAATGTCGACAACTTCGCGAGATTTTAGTGGAAAAGTAGTACTAATTACCGGATCCAGTAGTGGTATCGGTGCTGTGGCTGCCGTCGAGTTTGCCAAAGCTGGCGCTCAGGTAGTGATCACCGGCAGAAATGCCGACAATCTGTCCGAAGTGGCCAAAGAAGTACTCAATGCATCGCCAACTGGTCTGAAACCTTTGGAAGTGGTGGCCGACGTCAGTAAAGACGACGACTGTCGCCGATTGGTTGACTCGACAATCAAACAGTTTAACAGATTAGACGTATTGGTCAATAATGCCGGTTTCGGTTTGGGTACGTCTATATACGACTCGGATATTTTAGACAAATACCAGCAAATTATGGACACAAATGTGAGAGCAGTTATCAATTTATCGCACTTATGTGTCGAGCATTTGGAGAAAACCAAAGGCAATATCATTAATATATCGAGTGTTTGTGGTCTCAAACCGGTATGTATTTTGAACTGGTATTTAGAGAGAAAAATGTCGATAAATTATTATTATTATTATTATTATTTAATTTAGTAAAAAAATTATAAAAAATAATATTTATTTTAGTTGAAGTTTTTAAAAAAATTAATATATAATTTTCATGCTATAGGCCTCAACATTTTCCATCTATTGTATATCTAAGAGTGCATTAGATATGTTTACTAAATGTTTGGCACTAGAGTTGGGACCCAAAGGAATTCGTGTCAATTCAGTCAAGTAATTAATTTTAGTATTTGTTTTTTTTTGATCAAAATTTTATTAATTATTATTTTTTATTATTTGTTTTATCAATAGTCCGGGAGCAGTGCGAACCAATTTCTTGCAAGTGGTTGGTATGAAAAAAGATCAGATCGATGCCGCCTACGAGTCCTGGGGCCCAAAACATCCGGTTGGACGGGTGGGTGAGTCCATTGACATTGCAAATGCTATATTGTTTTTGGCATCGTCTGAGTCGTCGTTTGTTACGGGTATCAACTTTCTAACCGATGGCGGTTCAATCAATGCTAGTTTTAGTTAAACAACAAAAATATTAAAATCTAATAAAATAATTTAACTACCAATAGATAAAATTATTTGAGTATATTTTAGTCAATACTTTTTGTTGTTGTTGCTGGTTATATTAATATTTTAAATAAATTAAAAATCGTGTTTAAAAAATAATTAATTTTTTTTTTTAAATAAAACTCGTATTAAATATATTAATTATTAATAATGTATTTTATATTGATAAATGTAGTTTATAGGTTTACTTTTTAACTACTTAGAAAAAATAAATTATTATTATAATACTGTATATGGTGATACAATAACAATAAATTTTAATTAAAACATTAGTTTTACACTATATTTTAATTATAATTTGATAAACCAAATGTAGTTAATCATTATTTTATTACAATAGTTTTGTCTATAACTTATACAGTTTTTATAGTAAATACATATTCATTAATATGACAAAAAACCGTAGATAACAATGATTAGTTCATATTTTTTAATTACATTATACGGTATATAAGCAGTATATAAGTATATAATTTGTATTTAGTAATTAAGTATTAAAATCATATTAAGAGTAGTTTTTTTATAATTATAAATTTTGTTAATAAAACAAACTTTTTAATAATGTCGACAATTTCACGAGATTTTAGTGGAAAAGTAGTACTAATAACCGGATCCGGTAGTGGTATCGGTGCTGTGACTGCCGTCGAGTTTGCCAAAGCTGGCGCTCACGTAGTGGTCACCGACAGAAATGCCGACAATCTGTCCGAAGTGGCCAAAGAAGTACTCAATGCATCGCCAACTGGTCTAAAACCTTTGGAAGTGGTGGCCGACGTTAGCAAAGACGACGACTGTCGCCGATTGGTTGACTCGACAATCAAACAATTTAACAGATTAGACGTATTGGTCAATAATGCCGGTTTCGGTTTATATTCCTCTATATACGACTCGGATATTTTAGATAAATACCAGAAAATTATGGACACAAATGTGAGAGCAGTTATCAATTTGTCGCACTTATGTGTCGAGCATTTGGAGAAAACCAAAGGCAATATCATTAATATATCGAGTTTTTGTGGTATCAAACCGGTATGTATTTTGAACTGGTATTTAAAGAGAAAAATGTCGATAAATTATAATTAGTATTATTATTTAATTTAGTAAAAAAATTATAAAAATTAATATTTTTAGTATTATTTTAGTTTGTTTAAACAAAATTTATATATAATTTTCATGCTATAGGCCTCCATATTTTCTATCTATTGTATATCTAAGAGTGCATTAGATATGTTTACTAAATGTTTGGCACTAGAGTTGGGACCCAAAGGAATTCGTGTCAATTCAGTCAAGTAATTAATTTTAGTATTTGTTTTTTTTTTTGATCAAAATTTTATTAATTATTATTTTTTATTATTTGTTTTATCAATAGTCCGGGAGCAGTGCGAACCAATTTCTTGCAAGTGGTTGGTATGAAAAAAGATCAGATCGACGCCGCATACGAAGCCATGACAACCCAATATCCGATTGGACGGGTGGGTGAGTCCATTGATATTGCAAATGCTATATTGTTTTTGGCATCGTCTGAGTCGTCGTTTGTTACGGGTATCAACTTTCTAACCGATGGCGGTTCAATCAATGCTAGTTTTAGTTAAACAACAAAAATATTAAAATCTTACAAAATTATTTAACTACCAATAGATAAAACTGTTTATTTGAGTATAGTTTAGTCAATATTTTTTTATTGTTATTTCTGTTCATATTAATATTTTAAATAAATTAAAAATCATGTTTTAAAAATAATAAAATGCTTTTTAAAAAAATAAAACTTTAGTGTTAAATATCTTAATTATTAATAAATATATATAATATAAGGATATTTTATATTGATAAATGTTGTTTTTATGTTTACTTTTTAACTACTTAGCAAAAATAAATTATTATTATTATTATTACATTAAATTATTATTATAATATATGGTGATACAATAACAATAAATTTTTATAAAACATTAGTTTTACACTATATTTTTAATTATAATTTGATAAACCAAATGTACTTAATCTTTATTTTATTATAATAGTTTTTGTCTATAACTTATACAGTTTTTATAGTAAATGCATATTCATTCATATGAAATAAAAATAATCAAAAACAGTAGATAATTGAATAGATTATGTGACCTTGGTTAGTGCATGTTTTTTAATTACATTGTATACAGCAGTATATAAGCAGTATATAAGTATATATTCTATATTTAGTAATTCAGTATTAAAATCATACTACAAGTAGTTCATGTAATTATAAAGTTTGTTAATAAAATATTGAAATTTAAAAAAACTCAAAACATTTTTAATAATGTCAACAATTTCGCGAGATTTTAGTGGGAAAGTAGTACTAATCACTGGATCCAGTGGTGGTATCGGTGCTGTGGCTGCCGTCGAGTTTGCCAAAGCTGGCGCTCACGTAGTGGTCACCGGCAGAAATGCCGGCAATGTATCTGAAGTGGCCAAAGAAGTACTCAATACATCGCCAACTGGTCTGAAACCTTTGGAAGTGGTGGCCGACGTCGGTAAAGACGACGACTGTCGCCGATTGGTTGACTCGACAATCAAACAATTTAACAGATTAGACGTATTGGTCAATAATGCCGGTTTCGGTTTGGGTACGTCTATATACGACTCGGATATTTTAGATAAATACCAGAAAATTATGGACACAAATGTGAGAGGAGTTATCAATTTATCGCACTTATGTGTCGAGCATTTGGAGAAAACCAAAGGCAATATCATTAATATATCGAGTGTTTGTGGTCTCAAACCGGTATGTATTTTGTAAAATATTGTAAAAATTATTATTAAATCTGTTATTTTATTTAACAAAAATAAAACAATAATATTTCATTTTTTGATACAATTTTATTAAAATATAATTTATGTTATTTTTTGGCTTACAGTTCGCCACATTTTCTATCTATTGTATATCTAAGAGTGCATTAGATATGTTTACTAAATGTTTGGCACTAGAGTTGGGACCCAAAGGAATTCGTGTCAATTCAGTCAAGTAATTAATTTTAGTATTTGTTTTTTTTGATCAAAATTTTATTAATTATTATTTTTTTATTTGTTTTATCAATAGTCCGGCAGCAGTGCGAACCAATTTCTTGCAAGTGGTTGGTATGAAAAAAGATCAGATTGATGCCGCATACGAAGCCATGACAACCCGATATCCGGTTGGACGAGTGGGTGAATCCATCGATATTGCAAATGCTATACTATTTTTGGCATCGCCTGAGGCGTCGTTTGTTACGGGCATCAACTTTGTCTCCGATGGCGGTTCACTCAATTCAACATAAAATTTTCAATAACAACTGATGAAATTAGTTTATATGTCAATATTATATTCAATAGTATGACTTAGTGAAAGTTGATGTAATTTTTGTAATTTTAATATTCAAAATAATCTTAAAAATTTATAAATTGTTTACTAAATATTTAATATAATATAATTTTATTTAATATGTTTTTAAAATATTTATACAGATAGAAAATATAGTATGATTATAATTTATAATATTGGACTACAATATAATATTTGTCTAATATTATAAAAATTAATAACTTTATATTAATAAATATTGTCATATATTATTAGTAAATTGTAACTTTGTTTACATAATGTGCCATGTATAAATATGTCAAGTTGCAAAATTAATAATAACTATTAAAAAATAATGAGAATATTGTTATTAATTAGTCAAATCTAAAATTAAATAAAAGTTACCTAGATAGATTATAACTATTTTAGATATGTTTATAATTTGTTGATATAATTTAATATAATATATTGCAATAATATATTAAAAATAGAATATGATTATATAAAAAAATATTTTTTAATTAAAAATTTTGTTGTAATACCAATAATCGTTTTATAATTTTCATTAAATACTTAATATTGTATTATTTGTTACTAATATTTAATTTCATAAATAATATTTAATTTTTATTGTTATATTAAAATGTGTTAATTTAAATAAACTATTTAAGTTACTCTAAAATAAATAGTTACACGAAAGTCAATAAAAGCCTTACTTGAACTAAAATTGAACTGACATTTAAGTGTAAATTGGTACATCCAAGGTTACATTGTTTTCAGTATTACTGGCAATGTCTAGTCACCCTTGGTAACGATAATAATAATAAATAACTGTATTATTATTATTATATTGTTATTATCAAATATTGTTAAAATATTAAACTGTATCTACAGTATACTGTAAATGTGTTTAAAATTTATAAACATTATTTCTGATAAAATTAAACTATATTTTACATCAATATAAAATATAAGCTTCATTACTGTATTTTTTTTAATTTTATTGATTAATCATACCTTAAAATGTTAATATCATTCATATATAAAAATAAAATATATTTGTTATCTAAAACTTTTGATTATATGAACGAATTTGCACTATACGTATAAAATAATACAGTTATATTTTATTGCTGTATAAACAGTATATAAATAAATTTTATTACAGTTGCTATATTACTTGAAATTAATTGAATTATTTGAACTTATTAGAAAGTTATTTGAAATTATAATAAAGTTGTTAAATTGTAAATCTATTGTATAAAATAATGACTTTAACAACTTGTGATATATTATATATAGTTTGGATATCAATAATTGAATTATCGCAAAATGCTATCGGATGGAGATATAAATGTACAACTAATAAACAATTGAATGGACAGGTAGTTGTCATAACTGGTGCTAACACTGGTATCGGCAAAGAGACGGCCAGTGATCTGGCAAAACGTGGAGCAAAAGTAAGTTTTTATTTAATTTTTTAAATGTTGTTATAATTACCGATAGATATATAATAACTTAAAATGTTATAATAAAATAACAAAAAACAGGTAATAATCGGATGTCGTGATGAAACAAGAGCTGCAAATGCTATCAAAGATATTAAGGCAAAGAACCCAAAGGCAGACATAACGGCATTCAAACTGGATTTGTCTTCACTAAAGTCTGTCCGCGAGTTTGCCCAACAATTGAACGAAAAATACCAGAGAATTGATATACTCATCAATAATGCCGGTCTTTCGATGAACGATCGCAGAGAAACTGAGGACGGATTTGAAATGATGTTTGGGACCAATCATTTGGGTATTTATATACTGAATATCTTTATAAAAAATATGTAATATTTTATTAATTTATATGAAAATATAACTTTTAGGACACTTTTTGCTAACATTGCTTGTATTGCCATTACTACGCAAATCGCCAAAAGCACGGGTGGTTAACGTGGCGTCAGTTGCTTATAGTTTCGGTGAAATAGATTTCAATGATATTAATACTTTAAAGAAACCGTACGAAATGTGGTCAATCTATGGTCAGAGCAAATTGGCTAATGTCCTGTTCACCCGTGAACTGGCCCGACGATTGGGCACCGACTCATCAATCAATGTCTATGCCGTCCATCCGGGAGGTGTGCGCACAGAGTTTGCCCGAAATCAACCGTTTTATAGTAAAGTATTTATGCATGTGTTTGGATATATATGGCTCATAAGTGCTAAATCGGGTGCTCAGACATCACTGTATTGTGCCATAGATGAGGCACTGGATAACGAAACGGGATTTTATTATGAGTTAGTTTTGTTTTTATAAATCTAATATTAATACTATTATATTAATATCTATATATTGTTTTTGTTATTATTATTATCAACTTATTATAGAAACTGTAACCGAAATGATAACTTATTTTCCAAAGCCAAGGATGACGAGTCGGCTCAACGATTGTGGGAATTGAGCGCACAATTAGTTAAACTTGAAAATCAATATAATTTGGCGAAAAATCCTAATTATTTTAAACAATAATTTATTTATTCAGTTAATTAATAAAAATAAAATGATATAAATTAATTTAACTATAATAATATAAATTAATATAACTAATTAATATTATTATAATTTCAAAAGTGTTTAATAATAAATTGCAACATTGTTTACATAAATTAAATAAAAAAAGTTAATTTACAATTACGGTAATTAATTTGTAAAAATAATCAAGTTTATAAATTGTTATATTATGAGATATGTCAAATTGAATAAAAGTTACCAAGATAGAGTATAGTAATAATAATTTAATATTTTTTAGACAATAAATAGTATATACATGTACAGTATTTGTTTATAATGACTTCATATAATTTAATATTTAAATTTTATACTGTATATAATATTAATTATTTATTGTTGTATTCAATTATAAACAAATATAATAATTTAAATAAATGTATAAATATATTGCATATAAAGCGGTTATATGAAAGTCCGCAAAAACCTTGAATGAACCAAAAATGCACTTATATTTACTGTTAGTGTATACGAGTACAAGCAAGGTTATATTGCTTTATGTATATACTGTCAATGTATAATTGATTTTTTAAAAACAATAATGATAAAAAATATTAAACGTTATTTTTGATAAAATTATAATACAGTTTATTAATAGTATTTAATATACAGTATAAGGTTTACTTGGCTTTACATACCTGTTTAAAAAATATTATTAATATTATATGTAATCATTTAAACTGATAGACCAATAAAAATCTATTTGTAATCTAAAACTTTATGATTATATGCACCAATTTGCACTATAAGTAGAAATACTCTCTAATATATTACATGTATATACCTGTATATACAGTATATACAATATATATATAGAGTATATAAATAAATTTTATCCACAGTTATTATTTTACTTATAAATTGTTATAATAAGTTTTTTTCTTCAAGAATTTATTTATAAAATTTTTATTTAAATTATTATTATTTAAAGTTAATAATAAAAATAATAATGAGTAATAGTAAATTATATATGTTTTGTCACGGAGTAACTGAATTATCGCAAAATACTGTCGGATGGAGATATAAGTGTACGTCTACTAAACAATTAGATGGACAGGTAGTTGTAATAACCGGTGCCAACACCGGTATCGGCAAAGAGACGGCCCGTGATCTGGCAAAACGTGGAGCAAAAGTAAGTTTTATATTTTTTTTGTTTAAAATATTATCATTATAATAAAAATAACTTAATTTTTTAAATAACAAAAATCAGGTAATAATCGGATGTCGAGATGAAACAAGAGGTGAGGATGCCATCAAAGATATCCAAACAAAGATCCCAAAGGCAGACATAACGACAATGAAACTGGATTTGTCTTCACAAAAGTCTGTCCGCGAGTTTGCCCAACAATTGGCCGAAAAATATCAGAGAATTGATATACTCATCAATAATGCCGGCGTTCAGCTGAAAGATAGAAGTGAAACGATTGATGGATTTGAAATGACTTTCGGAACCAATCATTTAGGTATTTATCATTTATATACTGTTTATCTATTATATTATATATTAAATAGTTTAATACAATTTATTTTTAAAATTGTATAATTTTTTAGGACATTTTTTGCTAACAATGCTTGTATTGCCATTACTACGAAATTCACCGAAAGCACGGATAGTTAACTTGACATCAGTTGGTCATAATTACGGGGTAATTGATTTCAATGATATTCATACATTAAACAAACCGTACGATATGTGGGAAGTCTATGGTCAGAGCAAATTGGCTAATATATTGTTCACCCGTGAACTGGCCCGACGACTGGGGAACGACTCGTCGATCAATGTCTATGCCGTACATCCGGGAGGTGTGCGTACAGACATTGCCCGAAATCTAACGTTTCAAATGAAAGTCTTTATGAATGTTTTGGGTCAAGTAATTCTCATAAGTGCTAAATCGGGTGCTCAGACATCACTGTACTGTGCCATAGATGAGGCCTTAGATAACGAAACCGGATATTATTATGAGTTAGTTTAAAAAAAATACTTTTTAATAATAATTTATTTATGAATTTTATTTTAATATCTGATTTATTTTTATAATTAATGTATTTATTATAGAAATTGTCACCGAAATGATAAATTGGCCCCAAAGACAAAGGATGACGAAACAGCCCAACGATTGTGGGAATTGAGCGCACAATTAGTCAAACTTGAAGATCAATATAATTTGCCGAAAAATCCTAATTATATTTTTCATTAAAAGTTATTTACAGTATTATTATTAATAATATAGCCTTAATATTCTATACTGTACTTATACTATATATTTTTGGATTTTTTATTTTTTAATGTAATCAAAGTATTATCTGTTTATAAATTTTAACTTATGGCACATGTTTTACATAACGTGACACAATTTATATTAGTTTTATTTAGTTATTGTATTTAAAAAAAAATTATTTATTCATTAATATCTTTGTGTTAAAGTAATATATATTTATTATTTATGATTTTTTAATAATATTTTATTACCATAAAAGTATTTTGTGATAAGAAATATTTTCAATTACTTTCAATTTAATAATATTTTTTACTTTTATTTATTATAATATAACAGTGAAATTTTCTTTTTATATTGTGTATTGTGTAGTATTACTCTTTACACATACTTTTAACCATTGATTATACTGTATTTAATGCAAAATGTTAATATAGTATTATGTTTTTCACTATTATTTGTACTGATTATTGAAAAAGCTATATAAATATGATATAAAACAATGAAATGTAAAGTTAAAACTAAAGAAATATAAAATTTGTTATATATATATAATTGTTTATCAAAAATATTTTCAAAACTGTATATTTATATAAATTATAATAAAATATTAATAATAAAATATAAATTCTTTAAATTTTTCTACGTTATTCTAAAATTTAAAAAATACCAATTAAATGCATAATAAGTATAAATAGTTAATATTTTAAAATTAACAATTTTAACAAAATACTGTATGATTTTAAATTATTATTACTATTATATAATTGTTTGTTTTATGTGTCACACCAATAGTTAGTCCGGAAGCAGTGCCAACCAATTTCAAGCAAGTGGTTAGTATGAAAAAAAGATTAAATCGATACCGCCTATGAAGTCAAAACCACTTAAACCCACCCCCACCCCCATCATCACCTCATTCACAGTAATTAATGAGTAGTTAAATGAAAGTCATCACATGAAACCTTGATGAACAAATAATTTGAATTTAAATGTAATTTAGTACATTCAAAGTTAAATTGTTTTTAATAAATATTACTTTTGACTGTCTATTTTAACAATGATTATGATGATATAAAATTATGAAATAATAATTATGTTAACATTTTACAGTAAAAATATAATATCCGTATAATTTAGTGTAGTAAATTTATCTAGAAAATTTTTAAGTGTTATTTGTTATCAGAATTTACTGTATATTATTAATTTATAGTTAAAATATAAGGCTTACTAATTGTACTGAATATTGTCATTTAATCTAACTTTATGATTATATGCACCAATTTGCACTATAAATATAGTGTGTAATAATAATAATAATAATTTATATAGGTATATAAATAAATAAATTTTACTACAAAATCTTATATTACTTATAAATTATCAAATGTTTGTTTCAATAATTTTGTTATAAAAAATAAATGAAATATAATATTTAATTAGATTTATTATTTATATTATTTATTAAAAAATTACTTAAATTAAATCTATTGTAATCGCAATTTTTAGATAATACTAATGAGTTTAAAATCTAGTGATTATAGAATATTAGATATAGTTTGGAGATCAGTAACTGAATTATTGCAAAATGCTATCGGATGGAGATATAAATGTACAACTAATAAACAATTAGATGGACAGGTAGTTGTAATAACTGGTGCTAACACTGGTATCGGCAAAGAGACGGCCAGTGATCTGGCAAAACGTGGAGCAAAAGTAAGTTTTAGTAGCTTTTAATATAAAAAAAACTGTAATACTTTATAATTACAATAATTAGGTAATAATCGGTTGTAGAGATGAAACAAGAGCTGCAAATGCTATCAAAGATATTAAGTCAAAGAACCCAAAGGCAGACATAACGGCATTCAAACTGGATTTGTCTTCACTAAAGTCTGTCCGCGAGTTTGCCCAACAATTGAACGAAAAATACCAGAGAATTGATATACTCATCAATAATGCCGGCCTTACGATAAATAATCGCAAAGAAACTGAGGACGGATTTGAAATGATGTTTGGAACCAATCATTTGGGTATTTTTATATAACTTATAAAATATTAAATATCATATTATATTATTTGAAAATTATATTATTTTTAGGACACTTTTTGCTAACATTGCTTATATTGCCATTACTACGTAAACCCCAGAGAGCACGGGTGGTTAATGTGGCGTCAGTTGCTTATGGATTAGGAAAAATAGATTTCGATGATATTCACGCTTCAAACAAACCGTACAAAATGTTGTCAGTCTATGGTCAGAGCAAATTGGCTAATATATTGTTTACCCGTGAAATGGCCCGACGTTTGGGCACTGATTCGTCGATCAATGTCTATGCCGTACATCCGGGTTGTGTGCGCACAGAGTTTGCCCGAAATCTGGGAAATCTGGATATTGTAAGCAAAGTGTTTTGGCTCGGGTTTGGTCACGTATTTCTCATAAATGGCAAATCCGGTGCTCAAACATCACTCTACTGTGCCATTGATGAGACACTGGATAACGAAACGGGATTTTATTATGAGTTTGTTTTTTTCTATTGTTGTTATGTTTACATCTAATAAATTATTACAACTTTTATTTTAATATCTGTTTTATTATTAATTTTATTATTAATGTATTATAGAAATTGTCACCGAAATGATGACTTGTATAGTAAAGCCAAGGATGACGAGACAGCCCAACGATTGTGGGAATTGAGCGCACAATTAGTCAAACTTGAAGATCAATATAATTTGGCGAAAAATCCTAATTATTTGAAATAATAATTTATTGTAAATTAAAATTTTTCTTTTATTATACTTTTAATATATTTGTTTACAGATCAAATAATTTATTAATACTTTAATAAATTATAAAAACTATTATTATTATTATTACATATTGTTTTTCTAATAAAAAGATATATATTTATACTAGTTTTTAAATAAGTTCCTCTATTTATAAAAAGCAATTGTCACATGAAAGTCAATAAAAATATTGGATGCACTAAAACATGCACTAAAAAATTGTAAAGTAAGCTATTGTACTATATATTGAAGGTTATGTAAAATTGTTAAATTATATGTTAAATCATAAACTATTTGCACTTTGAAGGATAACAGTGTCTAATAATCCAGTATTTACTATATATATATAATATATAAAAGAGTTTTAACATTACTTTTAAAAATATTACAATTTTGTTTAAACAACAACTTAGTTTAAAAAATTATATTTGTTGTATAACAAATAAATGAATATAATAATCTTATAATAAAATAAATAAATTAAATTTATTGCAATTGATTTTATAATAATGTCTTTAACAACTGGTGAAAAATTATCAATAACTGGAAAAGCAATAACTGAAATATCACAAAATGCTGTCGGATGGAGATATAAATGCAAAAGTAATAAACAATTAGATGGACAGGTAGTTGTAATAACCGGTGCTAACACTGGTATCGGCAAAGAGACGGCCCGTGATCTGGCAAAACGTGGAGCACAAGTAAGTTTCAATTATATTATTTGTTAATATAAAAATTTAGTTATAAATTAAATAAAACTATTAATATAATGACAACAAAAAACAGGTAATAATCGGATGTCGAGATGAAACAAGAGCTGCAAATGCTATCAAAGATATTAAGTCAAAGAACCCAAAGGCAGACATAATAGCATTGAAACTGGATTTGTCTTCACTTAAGTCTGTCCGCGAGTTTGCCCAACAATTGACCGAAAAATATCAGAGAATTGATGTACTCATCAATAATGCCGGCCTTTTAATGAAAGATCGCACAGAAACTGCTGATGGATTTGAAATGATGTTTGGGACCAATCATTTGGGTATATTTTTACTGAATTTATTTTTTATATTAAATATATAATAATATATATATTTTTCATGAAAATATAATTTTTAGGACACTTTTTGCTAACATTGCTTGTATTGCCATTACTACGGAAATCACCGAAAGCACGGGTGGTTAACGTGTCGTCAACTGGTCATACATTCGGCGAAATATATTTCGATGATATTCACGCTTTAAACAAACCATACAACATGTGGACACTCTATGGTCAGAGCAAATTGGCTAATATATTGTTCACTCGAGAACTGGCCCGACGTCTGGGAAAGGACTCAATCAATCAATGTCTATGCCGTCCATCCGGGAGGTGTGCGCACAGAGTTTGGCCGAAATCAAGCATTTCTTACAAAAATGTTTTTTTATTCACTTCAATATATATTTATGATAAGCGCTAAATCTGGTGCTCAGACATCACTTTACTGTGCTATCGATGATACGGTCGATAATGAAACGGGATTTTATTATGAGTTAGTTATTTATAGTTAATATAATTAGTTATATTAATTTATTAAGATTTTTAAAAATTTAATTATCAATTTAATTATTTTTATAATTAATGTATTATAGAAATTGTCACCGAAATGATAATTTGTTGGCTAAAGCCAAGGATGACGAGTCGGCTCAACGATTGTGGGAATTAAGCGCACAATTAGTTAAACTTGAAGATCAATATAATTTGCTGAAAATTTGATGAAATATACTATTTATTTAAATTTGTTTTTTTTTGTTAATTAAAGTTAAACTATTATTATTAATATTACACTTTTAATATAATAAAATTTGTTTTTTAATGTAATATAAATTTATTATTTTGTAAAAATGTTATTTTACCAGTAATACATGAAAATACACTACATCTTATTATTTTTATTTAATTTTTACAATTTCTATCTGTATGATAAAATAAATATTACAATTTAATTATTATTAATGATGTTTTAATAATATTTTAATTTAGTTAAATCTATAAAAAAAAATTTTAATTTATAATATTAATTAAGTATCAAAAATAATGCTACAATATTTAATATTTTAAAATAATTTATATTTTATTTATTTAATTAATTTTTACAGTATATTCTAATACTAGAATTAAAAATAATTATTAAAAATTTAATTAAAATATTTTGTAATATAAGATTTTTGTATTTGTAAAATATTTGTAATTATAAATATTTAATGAAATAAACTTTTTAGAAAAATTAAAACTGTTATAAACTAGCTTTAATTAAATTACTAGTTTTACGCACTCATAGTTAATATAAAATTATTATTATTAGTAAAATTTTTTATACTTATGATTAACAAGTTATTTATTAATGTTAATACAATATAAAGTTAGACACGATAGCACTAAATGACCATGGTTGGTTTAGGATACATAGTATATATAAATGTAATTTATAGTAGTATACTGTAATATATAGCATATATACATATATTAGTATATATGTATATAATAGTACAGGTTTTTTGCACTATAAGCACTTAAATTATTGAAAAAGCTATATAAATACAATAAAACAATGAAATGTTTATCCAAAAACATAAATCTAAAATTTGTTAAAAATATAATTGTAAACCAAATATTTTCTAATTAAACTATATTATTTAAAACTTTAAATTTTATATTTATAATTAATTATAAAAATATTAAATTTTCAAATGAATCTTACTGTTGGAGAAAAATTATCAATAGCTGGCAAATCTATATCTGAATTATCGCAAAATGTTATCGGATGGAGATATCGATGCAAAAGTAATAAACGATTGGATGGACAGTTAGTTGTGATAACCGGTGCCAACACTGGTATCGGCAAAGAGACGGCCCGTGATCTGGCAAAACGTGGAGCAAAAGTAGTCATATTATTATTTATATACAATTGTATAATAATATTTAATTTATCGTTATTTTAATGAAAAATTTATATAATATTTCAGATAATTATTGGATGTCGTGATGAGTCCAAAGCTAATGAAGCGATCAATGATATCAAACATAAGATACCGTTAGCCGACATAATTGCTATGAAATTGGATTTATCATCATTGAAGTCGATCCGCAAGTTTGCCGAAACTTTAGCCAACAATTATCACTCAATTGATATACTCATTAATAATGCCGGAGTTGGGATGCAAGAACACAAACTAACTGATGACGGATTTGAGATGACTTTCGGGACCAACCATTTGGGTATAGATTTACAAAAAACTAAATAAATTATTTATAGATTAATTTGGTTTTATTTTTTAAACAATTTTTTAGGTCATTTTTTGCTAACTTTACTATTGTTACCATTGCTCCAAAAAGCACCAAAAGCACGGGTAGTTAATGTCTCATCCTATTTGTATACCGTTGGGACAATCAATTTTGATGATATAAACGGCTTCAATAATCAATACAACGGATCATATGCTTACTGTGATAGTAAATTGGCCAACAATTTGTTTACTTGGGAACTGGCAAAACGTCTGGGACCCGACTCAACGGTAACTACTTATGCTGTCCATCCGGGAAGTGTTCGCACAGAAATACACAGAAATAGGACATCAAATATTCAGCGCAAACTTATAGGGCTGTTTGGACTCATATTTTTTATTAGCGCCAAATCAGGTGCTCAGACATCCATCTACTGTGCCGTCGATGAACGGCTCGACAACGAAACGGGCGGTTACTATGAGTTAGTATTTTTTTTTAATATTTAGTTATTTTTTTAAATATTGTTAGTTATTTTTTTTTATACTTTTAATTATTTATTATTTTTAATATTATTATTATTATAGAAATTGTCATAAAATAGATAAAATATGGCCAAAAGCTACGGATGATGAGGTGGCCGACCGATTGTGGGATTTGAGCGCCAGTTTAGTTAATCTCGAAGATAAATATAATTTACCAAAAAATAATAATTTTTAAAAATAAAATTATAAATGTTATGAATATATATGTTCATTACATAATACAGTATTGTTAAATACAATAGAATAATTGCTTTATAAATAAATTTATTTTTATTATTTTCATATATTTAATATTATTTAGTTACTAATATTAAAAATCACGCTATAAAATATATTATATTATTTGTTATATATAAGGTAGTACTATCAATTTATTATTTTTACAAATTTTAACTAAAAATATTACATGATAAGACACTAATTTACATTTTAATCTTTTAATCATTTATTAATTTTTACAAATTTTATGTGTTAAATAAAGTCATATATTAATAATACTTTAATTTTTCTTTATATAATGTATAATACAATATATATATTAAGTTTCAAAAATTATGATACAATATTAAATAATACTTTCTATTTTAAAATATTTTTTCAAAATCTAATTATTTAATTATTTTTTATATAAATTATTATAATTTATAAATATATTAATATCACAATATAAATTATAATAGTAAAATTAAAAATAATATACACAATTTAATAAAATTATGTAGAATTTTTTTAAATATGTAATATTAATTTTTAATAATAATTAATAATTTAATAAAAAAAATTTGAAATATTAATAAAGTAAAAACTAATCATATACTGTATATTATAAGATATTAAATAATTATCACTAATACATTGTAGTTATTTTAATACTAATACAGGTGTATACGTTATTTAAGTTTTTATTGCATTAGTATTAATTAAGAAAATATTACATAAATTACTATTAATAATCATCATAATTATTATAATTGTATTTTGTTGTTATAAGTATTTTCAATTAAAATAAGTTTTTTATTCATTATAATAGTAAACATTATTTTTATATAATTTATAGATTACAACTTTTTATAATTTAAACTTATGTTTAGTGCAGGTATAGGTAATAATAGATATAACAAATAACAAAAAATTTCTATTATATCAATAATTAATAAAATAACTTTTTTTTAAAAAAATCAAAACTTATATAAACTAGTACAAATTAAATTATTAGTTTTACACAATCATAGTTTTAATTTAAAATTGTCAAATTTATTATTAGCAAAATTTGTTATATCTATATATACAGTACAGTACTTTCGGTAACAATTTATTTATTAATGTTAATACAAAATTGTTAAACTTTAAAAAAACTAAAAAATATTAATGATAGCACTTAATGACCATGGATGGTTTAGGATACATAGTATATAGTACCGGTTTTTTTGCACTATTAATGCACTAAAATTATAGATAATAGTTATATAAATACAATAAAACAATGAAATTTTTAGTTAAACACATAAATGTAAAATTTGTTAAAAATTAAAATTGTTTAGCAAGTTTATTTTCTAATTAGACTATATTGTTTAAACTTATCTATACTTAAACTTATATATATATATATTTATATCAAACTTTATTTTGTATCTATAGTTAATTATAAAAATATTTATTTCTCTTTAAAAAATGGCTGTTAATACTACTGAAATATTATCAATTGCTGTCAAATCTATATATGAATTATCGCAAAATTTTATCGGATGGAGATATGAATGCAAAAGTAATAAACAATTAGATGGACAGTTAGTTGTGATAACCGGTGCCAACACTGGTATCGGCAAAGAGACGGCCCGTGATCTGGCAAAACGTGGAGCAAAAGTATAATCATATTATTATTAATATACAATTGTATAATAATATTTTAATGAAAAATTTATATAATATTTCAGATAATCATTGGATGTCGTGACGAGTCGAGAGCTAATGAAGCGATCAATGATATTAAACGTGAGATACCTTTAGCCGACATAATGGCAATAAAATTGGATTTATCATCATTGAAGTCGATCCGCAAGTTTGCCGAAACTTTAGCCAACAATTATCAATCAATTGCTATACTCATCAATAATGCCGGAGTTGTTATGGAAGAACACAAACTAACTGATGACGGATTTGAGATGACTTTCGGGACCAACCATTTGGGTATAGATTTACAAAAAACTAAATAAATTATTTTATAGACTAATTTGGTTTTATTTTTTTAAACAATTTTTTAGGTCATTTTTTGCTAACTTTACTATTGTTACCATTGCTCCAAAAAGCACCAAAAGCACGGGTAGTTAATGTCTCATCCTATTTGTATACCGTTGGGACAATCAATTTTGATGATATAAACGGCTTGAATAATCCATACAATGGAACAGTTGCTTATTGTAATAGTAAATTGGCCAACAATTTGTTTACTTGGGAACTGGCCAAACGTCTGGGACCCGACTCAACGGTGACCACTTATGCTGTCCATCCGGGAGGTGTGCGCACAGATATACACAGAAATAGGACATCAAATATTCAGCGCAAACTTATAGGACTGTTTGGACTCATATTTTGTATTAACGCCAAATCGGGTGCTCAGACATCCATTTACTGTGCTGTCGATGAACGGCTCGATAACGAAACGGGCGGTTACTATGAGTTAGTAATTTTAAATAAATATTTAATTATTTTTAAAAATATTGTTAGTATTTTTTTACTTTTAAATATTATTATTTATTATTATAGAAATTGTCATAAAATAGACAAAATATGGCCAAAAGCTACGGATGACGAGGTGGCCGACCGATTGTGGGATTTGAGCGCCAGTTTAGTTAAACTCGAAAATAAATACTATTTACCTAAAAATAACAATTTTTAAAAATTACATATAAATTATTATATATGCAGTTTATGTACATTACATAATATTTTTAAATACAATAGAATATTTGTTTTATGAATAAATTTATATTTAGTTTCTAATGTTAAAAATCATGCTATAAAAACATATTATAAAAGTTTTACAGTAAAATAAATAGTATATAAACTACAATTTTGTTGTATTAAAATTTGCATTTGTTTTATTCAATTTTATAAAAAAAAATAATTACGGTAATAAAATTTAAATGTATTTTAAGGCTATTTTGTTCAAACTATTTATATTCATTATAACATGTAAATGTAAAACAATATAAATCATGTCGTTGACCGCAAAAAAAAATATTACAATAAAAAACTAATTTGCGACAAAACTATTTCCATAAGTTTGTATAAAAATACAAAAACAAATAAATCGAAAAATATAATTTTATATATTTTTAAATTGCGTTTTTTAAAAAACCTTACAATAAAAATATGAGTTATAAAAAACAATTAACATTTAGAGAAAATGTTTATATACTTTACAAAATAATACTTGAATTATTGCAAAATGTTTTTGGAAGAGAATATAAGTGTACGAGTAATAGACGATTGACTGAACAGGTAGTTGTAATAACCGGTGCCAACACTGGTATCGGTAAAGAAACGGCTCGTGATTTGGCAAAACGCGGAGCAAAAGTAAGTTTTAAAAAATTGAATTTATTATATTAAAAATTTTTGTTAAAATTTATTTAAAAATTAGGTAATAATTGGATGTCGTGATGAATGGAAAGCCGCCGATGCTATCAAAGAGATAAAAGCAATGAACCCGAAGGCAGACATAACGGCACTGAAACTGGATTTGTCTTCACTAAAGTCTGTCCGCGAATTTGCCCAACAATTAACTGATAAGTATCAGGCAATTGATGTCCTCATCAATAATGCCGGCGTAACTATGAATAAGTGTATGGAAACTAAAGATGGATTTGAAATGACATTAGGGATCAATCATTTAGGTATACATATAATATAATTATATATAAATAATGTATTTTACACAATATTTTATAAGTATATCAATTACAAAATTTATTAATTAAAAAAAATAATTTTTAGGACATTTTTTGCTAACAATGCTTTTACTGCCATTACTACGGAAATCACCGAAAGCACGTGTAGTTAATGTGTCATCATTTGCTCATGTATTCGGTGATATTGATTTTGACGATATAAACAGCTATAGAAAATCATACGTTCCGTTTGATCGTTACGCTCAAAGCAAATTAGCTAACATACTGTTTACCCGTGAACTGGCCCGACGTCTGGGAACCGACTCATCGATCAATACCTATGCCGTCCATCCGGGTATTGTGAGGACAGCAATAAGCAGAAGTGATTTCTTAATAAACACAATATTTATGTATTTGTATGAAAATAAATGGCTCAAATCGGCCGAATTGGGTGCCCAGACATCACTTTACTGTGCCATCGATAAGGCCGTCGATAATGAAACCGGATTTTATTATGAGTTTGTGTTTTGTGTTAACAATTTTTAAATAATTTATTATATAATAATAATAATTATTATTAATGTATTATAGAAATTGTAACAGAAATGACAACTTGTTTGCCAAAGCCAAGGATGACGAGACAGCCCATCGATTGTGGGAATTGAGCGCACAATTAGTCAAACTTGAAGATCAATATAATTTACCAAAAAATCCTAATTAATTTTAACAATAATTTTATTTTTTTTAATTTATATATATTAAATATATACGGTATATATATTTACTATAATATCTAAACAATTATTAATCACTTATATCATAATTATTATTTTAGAAAATCAGTTTAGTATTTTAAAAAATTTTAAAAAATTTATTTAATTATTTAAAATTTATTTGTTAATATATATATGTATTATTTATTTTTTAAAATCTCTATTTACAGGAAATATTTTTTTCAATTTTTAGTAATATATTTAATGATTTCCTCTTAATTTATGATTTAGTTGTAATTAATCCTGTAATTATTTCTAGTCTAATTATATGTCGTATTTTTATTGATGGATTTATGCACTAGAGTTAAACTTAAAATAATTTTAAAAATATGATTTAACAAATCTTTTACAATTGTTTTTAATCCTATTTTTAGATCTTGTTATTTGTTTTTTAAAATTATATATTCTTATTTTTACCTAAAAAAATAATTTTAGTTTTAAATAAATATTTACGACTTGAGAGTCTATTAGCATTAATACTCAATAATAAACAATTAAATATTATTAAATTAATTATTATTTTCCAACATAACTTAATTATTAATATTTTTTTGCATAATAAATGTTTTAAAATGATATTTAATATATTAATTTTTATAATTTACATGTAATTTTATCTGTTAATTGTATATTTCAATAGAAAATTTTATTTTATTTTTTTGTTATTATTAACAATCAGATGATATAATTTTTCTAACAAACATATTATAGTGCAAATAATTAGTGCATATAAGAGATAGAAAAATAATGTATAATATTGATGAATATTCATAGTGTAATCGTTGTCAGTCAATGATGGTTGATAATAATCATCCAGGTGCTTTTCCTCTAAATAGTCAATATTGTTGAACAAAAATTTTAATAATCGCACCAAATTTTCAAAAACAAATTTTTGCGGATATCTCAACTGATTTTGCAATATATGGCTTTCAAAACTAACTAATGAACTGAAATAAAAATAAAAATTTATATAAATATTATGGATTAAAAAATATAATATGATAATATAAATAATTATAATTATTGTATTATTTACAATTTATTGTGTAAATCTAGTAATATATTTATATTTAAGTAAATGTTTATATTAATAATAAATTATTACTAATTATTATAAGAAAAAAAATATTAGTATAAGTAATAATATTTAGAAAAAAATTATAAAAAGAACTACAATTTTTTTATGTAACCAATATTATTTGATCCAGCAAAATTTTGTCCAAAACAGACCGGGGTAATTAATAAAGGCATAAATGAATTGCCAATATTTAAGTCAAAAAATCTACTAATAAATAACGAAAATATTTCTGTAAATATTTTATCAAAGATGACCACTTTATTTATTAATAATTGATTTAATTTATCAGGCTCATTTAGCCATTGCATCATCAAATAGCTATTATTTTGAGAGTTTAGTATTTGTAACTTTTTAGCCAATTGTATAAATTTCAAACGCATTGTTGGCTCATAATATCTATACATATCTAAGTCATTCAAATCATTATAATTAATATCAACACAATAGACTTGACAATTGTCATCCAGTATATCGTCAATGGTATCATAATAATTATAATCTCTATATAAAAATTAAAAAATAAAGTTAATTATTATAAAATTTTAACTTTTAACTATAAAATTCTAGTCTTATTTTTAAAATTAATATTAATTGTTTTTTATGGCTATACCTATTGACCATTATTGAATACAATATATATTTTGTACAATCATCCACAATGGCATAATAGCCATAAACCATAATGTATAGATCATATTTTTGTTCAAGTACATATAACTATCTCCAATGCCAATTAATGATTTTATATAATACCATATAATTTTATCAAAAGTAACAAGGTGATAAAATTTTAGTAATTTTCTAAAATTAATATCTATAATTATAGTATAGATTAATGACAAAAATATTAGGAGCCATATTGACCAGTCAAATGTTTCATGTATTTTGATTAATTGCGGCAATTTGGTCATCAATTTGGGACTTAATATAGTAAACTTATAGTCCATATAGAGTTGACAAATACATTGATAATTGTGCATAACATGAGTCATCAATTCATAGTTATGTGTTTGATAATGATAGAGATCGTTGACTATTAAATTGTCAAATTTATTAGTGAAATTGTCCAATGATTTTGTTAAATTGTCAAAACAATTATTAACCACTAGGTTTACGCTGATAATTATAACAAAAAAAAATAAATATTTTTATTTAATCATATTAGTATTGAATTTAAAAATATATTACATTTTTATAAAATATATTAATCTATAATACAATACTTACTAAATTAGAAAAATATTATTATTTAGTATAATTAAAATTAATCTAATTAACAACTAATATATTACTTTTAAATCAACAAATGTGACACATATTTTAAATCAGCATCCAAATCATAAATAAACATCTACATTTTATTAAAAAATAAATTAATAATAACAATAATTTTTATATACTGTATATATTTATAATTTACAGTAGATAACAAATCAATTAATAATTAACATTAAAATTATTATACATTATCACTATGAATTATTATGTTCAATTGACTGGCTGATTTTTGTGATAGATTTAAATAATTATCACTATAATAATCTTTGCATTCAATTATTGTCATATTAATATCACTGATAAATATTTGCCATAAATTAATTGGCAATTTCTGTATATAATTGACAACATCTGTAAAATGAATGAATAAATATTTTAAGCGCTTTGAATCCATTTAATAAATAATTTTTATGAGTTTATATAAATAATTATCTATGTATTTATGATATAGATTTTAATAAAATTATTAAGAGTCTGTATGTATTTAAATATCTAATAGATTTTATATAATAAAATTAAAAATGTTAATAAATTTAGAAATTTAAGCAAATTATGTTATTTATATATAAATATACAAATAAATATAAACAATTATATTATTAAAATATTATTTATATAATAAAAATGTTATGACAATTTTTATTGTTATTTAATTTGTGTTTTTATTTTACTAATTATTATTTTTATATTAATTTTTCTTTTAATGACAATTTAAATAAATTAATACATTAATATTATTATATATTATTCGTATGTTTCAATAAAATAATTTATTATATTAAAAAAACTAATTAATTAAATCTTGTTATTATTTATATATATTTAAAACATTTTAGTTAATTAATAATAATAATATATTCATAAACATAAAAGAATAATATTATATAAAAAGTTAAAAAAATAAATAAAAACTTTTACTTTTAAAATATATAAAAATAATAATAAATTGACATTAAGCAATATAGTTGGTTGATATAGTTATAATAGAAAATCATTTATTATTAATGTAAAAAATTAAATATTACCGTTAAATGTCGCTTAATTTCCCGTATGAAGATATGTAAGTCATGGTAAATAATGCGAGTCTTTAATCATATGAAAAAATATTTTGTGACTTTAAATTTAAATTTGCTGCCCCCTGTTTTTATACATTTTTTATACAAGTACCCCATGTACTTAGACGTCTCAAATAGTTCCAAACCCTTTGAATGTGCTATCTATTTACCGATTTATAATATGTAAAAATACTGTAAACGCATACAATTAATCATTTATTGTTAAACACTGTTATAAATAATAATAATTATTTATCTAAATATACCGTTTTTAATAGATTAATGTTAAATATACATTACATTTCTCTAATCCCCCATTTTTGCTTTTCCCATACCCTCGTTTAATTTACCAGGGGTGGTAAAAAAAGCGAGTTTTTTACCGTATGAAAATGTTATTTTTCATATTTTTATGAATTACATACGGGGAATTAAGCAAGTATAAAAAATTAGTAAAATTCATGTTGACATAAATGCACATTTTATGAATTACTATAGGTGTTTTTTAGATTATATGAATTATTAAAAATTAAATTTAGTAATATAACAATATTTTGTAAAATTTTAAATTAATTTTAAATTTTTATTATAAAAAATAATTTATTAATTATATTTAATAGATTTTATCTATATATAAATATACGATATTTTTTTATTTTTTTATTTGTACAGTTAACATTATTTCTAGTGTTTAACATTTAGTTATAAATATTAATTACAAAATATTAATAATTTCATTGCCAAATATCACGTATTGCTTTAATTTATACATAAATATAATAGTACAGTATTTTAGCACATCATCATATGATTTTTACATGTTGTTTAAATAGTTTATAATATTATAATAATTAGCAATTATAAATAAAATTAAATATTATAATAAATAATCATTACAATAATAATTAGTTTCTCTAATTTATAAACATTTCGCAATTAACAGCAAAATTAGTTATTATAAAACTTATTTCGCAAAATTTTTTTATTATCGATATAATATTAGTACAGTTTAAATAAAGTAAAATATAATAGCAGCTGTAATATTAGAATTTATTGTTAATAAATCTAAATATATGTAAAAATATTTTTTTAGCATTAAACTAAAATTTTAAAATTTAAATATTTTCTAGCAAAAACAATTTAATGACAAATATATCAATATTGAAACATAAAAATAACAATATAATTAATTGCATTATTATTATTACTACTACTACTACATAATAATATACAATAATATCTACTAAACAATATAAAAGTAGAATAATTACTGTAATATTCCGCAATTTGCGGTAAACATGTTTATCAGGAAAATAAATTAAAACTTATTTTCATTTTATTATTATTCTATAAATTAATATATACTAAATTAACATGTATTGCATTGATAACAATAATGTTCAATAATAATCATAGAAATCATCTGACAAATTAATTTATCAATAAAATTATATTTTTCACAATAATTTTCTAGTAATTAGAGTGTTTTGTAATAATGAATCATCTTTTGGCTCTGAAAATTAATTATTAGTTTTATATGTTGACAAAAATAAAGTTTTTTTTATAAATAAAATAACAGTACTTATATACTTGTGTTTGTGTAGTGTGTGTGTGTTTATATAAGATACTTAATAAACGTGTTTTTAGTAAACATGTTATTTGTTAGATTTTGTTATGTATTTGCTAATCACATGACTATGCTTAAATTAATTTTTATAGAGATTTTTATTTTGTTGAAAAAATATTATTATATAAATTCATATACAGTACTATTTAATATATATTAAAATAATAAAAATAATAGATAGGTAGATAGTTAAACACACACACACACACACACACACAGAGAGAGAGAGAGAGAGAGAGAGAGAGAATATTTTAGAGTACAAATAATTTTCCTAATAATAATACTAACATATAATGTTATGACATCAACACATGTATAAGTCATGCGCTTTTTGATGATAGTATTACGTAAATAAATGCAATCATATAACCTACCGGTATATTTTATATATTGTTGCATAGATTTATATACTATTATATCTCTAGTTGATGCTACTGATCCAAACACATTTAATTAAGTTGACTATAGTGTAAACTGTTAAATTACATTATATAACACTATTTAGCTAATTTGACCTAGTGTAAATTGAAAACATTAATTATTATCAATCATTCAAATTATTTATTAATTATTATTATATAATTGAATATAATATATTGGATTAATATAATATACGAAGTTTTATTGGTTAATTAAATTGTTAATTATTATTCTGGTAAGTTATAACTATTATAATTAATTAAATTTATATTTTTTGTGATTAATTAATATTATTATTTATAAAATATATAATATATATGTACTGTATATGTAAATATATATAATTTATATTTAAAAATCTATTAATATTATCTATAATTTATTCTTTTTATATACAGTGTTATTATATACTCTCTCTCTCTCTCTCTCTCTCTCTCTCTCTCTCTCTCTCTCTCTCTCTCTCTCTCTCTGATACTCTTTTTTCTTTCTAATTCTTGTTAATTCAGTTATTTAATGCACTTAAACATGATATTGAATTTATTATACTAAAAATATATACTCAAAAATATTATTTAAGTACAGTATTTACTCAATTGCTTTGTATTACGTAACTATTAACTAATATTACTCATAAAAGCATTACTAATTGCTTTACTCTCAATGTATTATCAATTGTTAACATTACGATTATATAACGTGTGATAAAAAATATACAATATTAAAAATTAAATGAAATTGAGGTTATAAATAATGTACACTACTTTTAGTGCAAAGTTTTTTAACAACAAATATAGTCTTTTTAAATAAATATAAATAACTATAAATATAACTATAATATACTGCTTTATATAATACATTAAATAATATTAAAAATTATTTTTAAGTTAGTTAGTGTAAACATATTATTATTATCCAATTAATAATTTTATAAAATATAATTTATAATAATATATGATTAATTGTAATAATAATAATGTTAGTGAAATTATTTTTAAGTACAGATTTTTTTTGAGAAAATGATTGTTTCATTGACGTAATAATATTTTATTAATATTATTAGTATTCACTAGATTATTACATAAGCAAATTTTTGTTAGTCTAATGTTTGTTAAGCTAAGTAAAATAATTAATATATTCATTTTTTATTATTATTGAGAAATATATTACATAAAAATTCAAAATTAATTTAATTATTTTATTTGATATTCAATACCGCAGTTTATATAAATATATTTAACATAAAAATTAATTGTAGTAAATATTACTAATTAGACAACAGATAAAATGAAATTATTATAAACTTACGTGACTTTTAGCAAATAATGTTATATCTAATCTTATCTAGGTGAAATAATTATATACAATATACGCAATATATAATAATATTTATATACTTAAAATTTAAATTTAAGTCTTAAATCAATAAGTAAATAAATATTATAATTATTATAAATTTTACAATAATTTATATAATGCTTATTTTATATTATAAGTAGTAATATATATATATATATATATATTTTAAATCACTGATCAATTGTAATAAAATACATATAAGTTTATATGTTTTGATACTTTGCAAATATTAAATTTATAAAAATTGATTATTTAATAATTTATTTGTTTAAGTTTATTATTTAATAAATATGATAATAAATAAAAATGTAAGACTGCATTGCATAGCATCTATATTAATCATCTTTTTTAATTCAGTATATTTATAACTATTTCATTTATGAACTTTTTATCTGAGATTTTATCATATGACAACAAAATATATACAATTATCTAGAATTTTACATTTAATTAATACTAAAGTAAATAAATAAATAAACATTAATTGATGACTTAGTGGCACCAAACATATTTTGATCACAAATTGTATTTATTATCTAAAAATAATTGTTAAGCAGTTATTTCCTTTTAGTTTGATTTCTTTTGAAAAATTGCGACAATAATAAAAAATACAGTAATTTTGTGATTTCAATAAATTTAAAGTTAGATATTTATTTATTTTTAAAAAAATAACTCATTGTCATCTAACTTGTAGTATAAGATATCATTATTTTTTATTTAAAGAGAGTATATATATTATGTACTGTAAACTAATATCTATTTAAAAAAAATCTAAAAGTTTATTTATCTTTAAATATTGATAATTTGAGTATCAATTTCATTATGATATAAAATAATATATTATTGCATTATGCTTAAAATAATACAGTATATAATAAATGTAATACAGTATTTATTTTAAAAATAATATCATATGACATTTGTTAGGCTATTTCAATATAAGTAATAATATATAAGTAATATAAATATAATCTTAAATTGCATAAAGAAAAAATTTTATTGTACATAATTTTCATATAAAAAGCATTTTATTAACTAATAAATAGTAATCAGTACTACAAATATTAAATAATTTAATAGTAGTCAACAATATAATCAATAATTTTATTAAAATAAATATTTTATATAAAGTAACAATTTATCTATTTAACTATGTAAGTAAATTTTAATTATATTTTTTTCATTGTTATAATCTAATAATTGTCTATAATTATCACTTAATAATAGATAGCGTCTATATAGTCATCATAACGTTAGATATTATTTATTAATTTCTATTTCTAAGAAATATAATATTATATTTAAATAGTTTAACCAATTATAAACTATATATCAGTTATTACGTAAATGAATTGCAATTCAATCAAACAAACAAAAATTATTTACTACTAAGTAAATAATACAAAAAAATACTAACTGTTACATACTATGTGTCATATGTTACATAATGCTACAGTAATTGGTACTATATCATTTTAGTTTATAGTCAGCTAGGATATATATATATATACAGTATATATAAGCAACTAATTTTGCTACTAGTTTTCTTTTTCTTTTAATTTTTTTTATTTTGAAAAAATTATGAAAATTTTATTAAGTTGATTAAATATTAACAGTATTTTTTATTAATTTTTTTATTAATTACAGAATATTCTGTTAAAATAAATTTGATTTAAAAATAACTAATTGTTTGAAAGAAATCAATAATAATATTAATATCAAAAAAAACGAATGGATCACATTAGAGAGGAAGAACAGTCGTGTGATAGCTGTACTCACCATCAAAACCAACAACACCTTAGATATTCACCTCCTATTTCACTACAGCTACCGAAGCCGCCAATTGCTCACAATGGTTACGAAATACGGCCGCCTCACAGTGTCAGCTCGTCGACTACCGGTACCAATAGTGCCAGTGTATCACCCGATCCTCAACTCATGAACTCTCATTTGGCTGTCGACCGATTGACCGGAATCTCGCATTCCGTACATAACATCATACAGAATCGTGGAATAGATATTGTTGGCCGACGTAAACGTCGGGCCAATCCTATACCCCAGGAAAACAAAGACGGAGCGTATGTATACTACTATTGAAAGTCATAAACTTATTGAAAATTTAAAAATTCAATATATATTAATACATGATTTTTATTTTTTTAAAAAAAACAATATATTAATTATTATTATAGTTATTGGGAACGCCGTAAACGTAACAACGAATCGGCCAAACGGTCGCGAGAGGTCAGACGGGTTAAAGAAATTCATTCAAATGCAAGGCTTATGTTTCTTGAAGAAGAAAACATTAAACTCCGGGCAGAAGTCGATACGCTTAGGGATGAAATCGGAAAGTTAAGGGAAATGTTGTATTGTAATAGACATGATAGCCATCCACATCATCACCACCACTGATATATATATATAATTATATAAATATATTTATTGTTATAAACAATTAATGCAGCATGATCATTTTTTATAAAAATAAAACATGATATAATCTATTTATTTAATTTAAATATTATTTTACTTATTATTTTTGATATTAATATCTCAGTTTTTATGATTGCCTTATTTATTTAATTAATATTGTATTAAGATATATATAAATATATTACAATTTTGTATTAAATGAAACATCTTTTATTATTTTTTTATAAACCATTTATAAATATTTATAATGATTAAATTTTTTCTATAGCAATCTGCAATATAAATATAAATTGAAAATTATTTTTTTAATGTGAAAAAAATAAAATAACAATTTTATATAAAATAAATTAAATTTTTAACTGAACTTTAAATTGAACTAGTTTTTTTATTAGTATTAAATAGAAATTAATATTAAAACATTTTTTATTTAAAATAAAATAAATATCTGTAAAAAATTAAAGCTTATCATAATTATTTCATTGCTTAATCATCTATCTATACATAATAACAGAAACACGTCATTCAAAATTACATTATTAAATATTATTATTATTATTATTAAATTGCATTCATTTTTATTTTTAAAAATATATATAATAATACTACGAAATTTTTTAGTCATACAAATTGCATCATTTTTGGAAATTTTTGTAAATGGACTATATATTCACATTTAATATGATAGCAGTAATAGTAGAAATATTTATATCTAATAATATTTTTTTTAATTATCTTATTAAAATAAGTATAGTGTATATACTGTATATTTTATTTGTTTTAATATAAAACTAGAAAAATTAATTTAGTAATAAGATTACTAATTTTTACTTTTCATTACTATTATATATAAAAAATAATAAAACTTATTTTATAGTTATAAAATTTATTGAGCAAATTGTACACTAATTAAAATCACATAATACAGTATGTAAGCGTATATTTTAAACAGAGTACCTTGGTGCAACAATTTAATTGAATGTCCTAAAAGCACATTTTTTCAACTATCATTTTTCTTAATCAAATCTAATATTATAATTGACATTTTTTTTATTTCAAAAGTGTTATTACTGTAAATAAAGAAAATTAAAATTAAAAAATGTTAATTATAATATTAGATTTGATTAAAAATGATAGTTGAAAAAATGTGCTTTTAGGGCATTCATAGACTACATAATGCATTTATATATTGTGTATACAATACAATGATATCATGGTATTTGCATAGACTTGCATTAGATAGACATCTATTGTATATACTAATTAATTGTCCCACTAAGGCACCTTGTTCAATATATGACTTTATGTACTGTATATTATAATATTTATATGAGAAAATAACATATATCTACAAAAAATAAGATATATTTTTACATATATAATAATGTATATATAAATATTACTATGAATAAACTTAATATAAATGTGATAATATGTATCAATAAATTTAATTAAAAAATGATAATTTATTTTTTCAATTATTTATTACTTACTTTATTATTTTTTTGTTGTTCTAATGTTGAACTTATGTATAAAAGACTTTAATACATGCATTATATTTTAAAAATATAAATGTAAATATGTTTAATTAAAGTGTTTGTAATTGTTTAATTTTGTAGCAACTGTTAAAATTAAAATAAAATATTTTACATTTAATATGTTATCTTTCAACACATGTTTACTATATTTTATATTAAAATTAAATTAATATATGATTTTCAGTATTTCTAATTTTATGTATTTTTAATATTAAGATAATAAAAATTATAAAATGCTAAAAATATTTATATAAAATGTAATAAAAATGGAACTTTTGATATATATTTTTTAATTCATTTTATAAATAATCTAAAAAATACTGTTTTAATATTAATATTAGTTATATAAAACTATTTTTTATAAAACAAAATAATATTCAAACATTTTTAAAAGAATAATATTAATTAATTCAATGATTAATCATTTATTTAATACATAAAACAAATACAGTACTGTATTACACGTCATACGTATATACTTACAGTATATTAAAATTATTAAATATTATATACTTTTCTATAGTATTAAACATTACTAATACAGTATATTGCTGTACATTGCATTATTTATTATGTATAAAAATGTATTAATGCGAAATTTTTAATCATAAACAATTTCATCATTTATTGCAATATATAAAAATTTCTATTTTTATTATAATAGAAATATATATATTATAATAATATTTATAATAATATTTTAATTACTTATAGACTAAGTTATTGTATTTTATTCAGTATTAAATCCAGTCTGTTTACATTTTTACAAATTCATGTTATTTTTACATTATGTTAAGCCAACCAAATAAAAACTATTAAATAATTATTAATTTGTAATTTTAATTGACTTTAACATCACTTGATAGCAACAATTATCTGGTGTTAATTTGTGGATAATAGTGTTTAAATTAGATAATTGTTGCTATCAAGTGATGTTAAAGTAAGTTAAACTTACAAATTAATTATAATGTGTGACATAAACTTTAAAAATCTTAATAAATTAATAAAATATTAAATAATATATTTTTTAAATAAATCATTTTAAAAAAAAAATATTTACTACAATTTTTATTAAAATTATTTTTGTTATATTTAAATAGAACATTAATTAACTATATCTATCATAAGATTAATGTAAAAAATACAGTAAAATAAAAACATTTTTCATAATTTAAAAAAAAATTATTATTATAGCTGTACTGAGTTTAGTGAATTATTTTATGCATAGTTATTGTCATAAATACAATACTATATTATATACTTTATCAAACATAACTAACTGTGAACATGAAATTCAAACATCCGTTACAATTGTAATGATTTTTTATATATATATAAATAAACTATAATATTTAGTAAAATTTTTATTTATCAAGTATATAAATAATAGATTTTTAAAAATTTTTTTAGTATTTTGATATAAGTTTCTAAAAAATTCTATAATTATTAAATAAAGTTATATAAATGTATTTTCTTGTTATACTAAAAATTTAAAGTATCAAAAGTTAAACTAATGAGTGAAAACAATTAATTTTACAATTTTATGCTAATATCTTGTATTACTTTGATATTAGTTTTGGACTTTTGAATTAACTGATTAAATAGTGTTGTGTACAACTTTGACACAACAATATCGTCTAACAATTCAATCAAATTGTTTAAAACATTTACCGCATTCTTATAGACGGTTACAAAATCGACCAGTTTTTGTAATAGTTGTCTATTATTTTTGTCAATTTTAATGTTGCCATTATTTATCAGTTTAATATAGTCCTCTTTTACCCGTATCTGTCGGACAGTCATATTTTTTATGAGGTCCTGACCCTCGGGTGTGTTTGGGTCTGCATTTTCCACACTCGACAACATTGACTTTAATTTTGTATCAATTATAAGCAATTTTGTGGTCAATTCGACATAACCTTTAGTTCGCCATTCAGTTACATATTTACTGGTAGTTTGGATATCCTTTTTTTTTGAGCACTTGTATCAACTCATCTTTAGTTGATAAATGGCTACCAGTTTTCAACAAATATGTTTCAACATTAAAGTTCACTGTTTTAGTCCAATTTTTACAATATAATTAACAATTTGTGTATTATTTTTGACCAAATCAATTAAGTCATTGATTTTGTTTGTATCCAATTTGATTAATTGACTATAATGGTAATTTGCAATTTTCTTTGAAAAAATCAAAAATATTTATATAAACATTTAGAATTAATGCCATTTTTTGATATTAATTGTTTATTTTCAAAACCAATTCGTGTATTTCGATCGTTAAATGATTTTTCAATATCCGGACGCAATCTGTCTAACCCTATGACCATACTTTTGATGACTACCTGACCTTCGGGTAATTATAGGATCAGCATAATTGACATTTTTTCAATAGCCGACAATTTAGTTTAATAAGTGTCCAAAGTTTTAGCCAAATCATAGTAACCTTTGAATATCGATTGATCTTTATTTATGTTAATCTTATCGGTTATGTTTCGTATATCTGCCAGCAGTTTATCTTTAGTGATATCTGCGCCCAATTTACTCGATTTGATCCATACGAGTGAAGAAGCATTTAATACTGAAAAAAATTATAAATATTTTATAAATTCAATTGAAAATTATATCTAAATATGGATTTTAAAATATCAAACATATTTCAAATACCTGATACAAAAATAATTAGAAAATATAAACTTTGTTTAGTTAATTGCATTTTTATTTGCAAATGTTTTATAACAATTTTTTTAAAAATTTAATTAATGAAATAAAATATCTAATTATACTATTGTTTATATACATTTTTTTGAATTAACCGATTATATTTTATAGTATAGGGAGTATAGATTATAGTAAAATCTTAACAACAGTATTATTTTGAATCTGTAATAATATATGGATTAAAAATATAAATAAAATTTTGATAAGAATTTATTTAACAAATACTTATACAAAATGACATAATAATAGTGACATTGATATTATTTGTTATAAATCAAGTATAGTAATAGTGTAATAAAAAAAAATAATCATTGTAGTTTAAGGGTACATAGATAAAAACTAATACTATTGTAAAAAATATATTTAAACATAATTAAAAAATTAAATGATTTTATTTTAAATTTGTAATTATTTAGAAATTTATAAACTTTATGAAAATTATTGTATTATTTATATTTATGCAATTTTTGTTTGATATGTAATTTAATTTAATAATATGATTAACTTTCTTTGAAAATTACAAGTATTTTATATAATCATTTTAAAAATATCTAATTATTAATATTATTTAGTTTATATAATATTACATAAAAATTACGAAATAAATTATTGATAACTAATATTTAATATATATATATTTTTAATTATGTTACATAAGATATTATAATAATTGTGACATCAAATTCAGTAGTAGTATTCAGTAAAATAAAATATACTTTTCAACATAATTGTGTAATAAATAATAAATTGAGATTGACAAAACATTGAGATAAAATAAATATTTTTTTTGTATCTAGTTTATAATTATAAATAAAAAATTAATATACATAAAAAGTTTTTTAAAAGTTTAATAAAAAACAATTAAATATTTGTTTAAAATCAAATAAAAAAATTAGAAAATAAAATTTTAATTATCAATATAGCTGTTTATAGTTATAGTAATTTGTTAACAGCTGTTTATAAATACAATTGTGTAATAGTTATTAATTATTATTTTTGACACTTTATGTATTACCATTATTAGTTCAATTTGGTTAAGTCAATCAATTTAGTTTAGTCTAGTTATGAAAATATAGTTATTATTTAATGTAAATTATTGAATGCAAAATTTAATTATTAATGATTTATATATTGAAAAAAAAATAATAATTTCATCACATTTTCTGTTTGATTGTACGTTTTATTACTTTATCTTTATTAGTTTGTATTTTATATATAATATTATTTGGTTACAAAAATATTTAAACATTATTATTGTTATTAGACTAGTAAAAGTATAACTTATATTTTTATTGATAAAGATATTGACATTGCATTACAACATTGTTTGTTTATTAGTAATATTAAATATTAACAAATGATTAATAATACACTTTTACTATTAATAAAAATATTATTATTACTACTCTATTTAATTTGTTGTAATACTGTTAACTAAAATAAATACTAGCAGCTATCATAGTTAACAAAAATTAATTATGTTAACATTGTTTGTAGCAAATATTATTTTTCCTATAGTTAAAATTTTATTAAAATGAATTTTATTAAACAATTTATTCTAATTATTATATTTGCAATAACAGGTAAAAAATGTTATTAAAAAATGTTTTATATTAATAGCAAATAATATAATTTTGATTAATACGAATAAAATCTATTAAATTAATTATATTATTACTAAAGTTATTACATCGACATCAATAGCAATAGTGTCGATACACTCGAGTCGATTGGACGCCGATATAACCAAAGAGCAAGTGATGACAGATATAGACAAACAATTGCTGGAAATTAATAATTATTTACAACGAATAGACAAAAATCAAGAGTTTAGCAAACAATTGGATAGACTTGTCGTCAAATTGATGACAATGTCCGACAATGTTAAACATACTGATCCACAGACACCTGTAGGGCAAGTATTGATCGAAAGTGTGGCAATTGAATTGAATAATGATAAACATGATGTCTATAAGTTAATTATAAATCAAAAAAGTAATGGATATTTATCATTAAAATCATTATTGATAAATGTTTATTTAGTTATTACAATTGCTATGTTTGTCAAACATTATATGATTTAAATTAAATATTTTATATTATTCTTATATGTTGTACTTATTTTATTTCTAAAATTATTGCAAATATTTATTATATTAATTAAATCTTCTTATTTTTTTTAAATGATAATATTTTAATATTGTCATCTAAAAATTTCTATAACCAATATAAAATTTATTGTTTTTATATCACAATGATTGGCACATCTGATAAATTATGTTACTTAAAGTAATATATTGTTACATACAAATAATAAGAACAATTAGATGTAATATATATATATATAAATAAATTATTGTAGTTTTAGAGTATAATATATTAATAAATCAATTTAAACGCTACTCAGTTCAGCAAATTATTATTTAAAAATTTTGTTTTAATTTTAATATAAATAAAACAAAATGACAGAATACAAGCATCTATTGTTTTTGTATGGTACTATGAAAATTGACGAGGTCAATCATCATTATATTGCCAATGATCAGGGTAATGGCTCCTATAGATTTATAGGTCGGGCCAAAACTGTAGACAAATGGCCACTATTGGTACTAACAAAATATCGTATGCCATGTTTGCTATACAAACAAAATTTTGGCAAGGTATATTTATTATAATTTTTTTTAAATTCTGATAATTAGTATTACTGTAATATTTAAATTACTTTTATATATTAATATTTTTAATTTTTATAAAAATAAATTAATGTTAAATTTAAACTATTATTTTTATATCTTCAAGAGTTTAATTAATTTATATAAGGCTTTAATTTTTGTTATAGAAAACTCTATTACATATTTATAACAAGTGATAATATTAAATATAATTTATTCATTATTTAACATTATAATGTTAGTATTTATGTCCAAATTTAATTAGTTAGGAATATTTTTTTCCAAAAAAATTAAATATTTTAAAAGAAACTCAATGGTGACGTGTTGTACACGTGCGACAAATTACTCGCACGACTCGATTATCTGGAATCGTTGCCCGGATTTTTCAAATACGACAGATACGAAATACCGGTGCTGTTAGATGATGGCACCGTTAGGCTTGCCTGGACCTACTTTATTAGCAATTTCAAACAGGAACTCCTGGAGTTGGATACTATAGACAACTATAATAGTAAACAACAGGGATATGTTAAAGATTGTGAATTTGATATTTCAATGGATTATAATCCCAATGACGATATTGCCGGTAGACTTACAAAAATTTCTGGTCAATAATAATAATTAACAATTTATACTTTTATTAATTTTTATGTGTAAAGTGTAGAATTTTTAAAAACAAAATTATTTATGAAATATAAAAATACTAATTGATATAACACTTTATTTAATTTTAAATTATTAATAAATATACTTTAAAAATATTTATTATTAAAAAAATATATTTATTGATTTAAAAGATTGATCTAAATAAATAATACTTTAAATAAAATCACATTAAATAATAATAAATAATAATAAATATTTTGAGTTCTTTTATTATAATATATATATTTCTATATTTAAGAAATATTATATCTAATCATGGTAAAAAATTAAGTTTGTAATTTAATTTAACATAATTAATAAAACAACAGTTTAATTTACAAATAATTTTTTCATAATAATTAAATTAAATAATCATATTTTTAATAAACAACTTATAATACTAGTAGTATAAGTCTAGTATAAATATTATTTTTAATTTATCAAACGTTAAATTATGATAAGCTACTTATAACTTGAACTTGTATTTTTTATTAAAAACATATAATTTATATGACATTTTAAAAATAAATCACTTATAAATAATAAATTGATAAAAAAATCCTATTTGATATATATTTATATACTGTACTATTTACAAATATAATATATTATTATTTTAGTGATTTGGGTTTAAACAAAACAATAGTACTTTAAATTGTTATAATAATTAACAAAAAATATAATAATGTTTTCAAATAAACAGCAAATATTATTAGTTTTAATAACAGTTATTATATCAGGTAAAAATTTATTATTTTCTAAAATAAATTTTAATATAATTCTAATTTATTAATTATTATTTTTATAAAATTAAAAAACTATATATAATATATATATCAATTTATATGTCTAAACAAGTTGACGCCACTATAACTAAGGAACAACTTATCATTAATATTAACAAACAATTAAATGAAACCCAAAATCATTTAAATGATTTGCAGACCAGAGATTATAAACAATTTGTGCAACAATTGGCCGAATATGTGATCAAATTGACGGCAATGGAGCACAACGTACAGAAAGCCGATATTACAACTACTGATGGACAGGTATTTTTGGCGGGAAGGGTAGGGAGAGGGAGGGGTATATCACTAATTATTATTTTCAATATACTTTAAAAATTAAACTAAAAAACTATTTAATTATAGTTGTAAATAGTAGTTATAGTTTATTAATAAAAATTAATTTGTTTAATTTACTTTTATTATTATTATTATTATCACTATGTGAACAGGTAGAAATTGACATGGCAGCCATAGCACTGGACAAATATGTTGATAATATAGCCGTAATCATTGAAAACAGTAACAAACAAATTGGATCAGACAATCGGTTTATCGGCAAAAATATTTTAACTAATCTTAATTATTATTATACAAAATATAATTACTTATTTAATAGTAGACTTAGTAAATATAATGATTATGAATTAGTTAAATTAAATACAACATTGTTTCGCAATTTATTCATACAAACTATTGCTAATTGTGATACTATTAATAAACTGTTAAATGAATGGCCAGTTAAATAAAAACATTATTACTATTATGATTGTTAAAAATTATTTTTAATTTTAAATAGTGTAATCTATCTAATAACTGTTATATAATAAATTCATATTAAATATATAAAATTAAAATATAAATAATTTTTAAAAAAGTCATTAATAAAATATTAATAGTAGTAATATATAAAATCTAATTTATAATATTTAGTGTATTATTTATACATTATTTATTAGTTAAAGTTTTAGGAAAATTCTATCTCTTGTTATATAATCAAGAAATTATAAAATATATTTCACTTTCAGTGGGAATATAATTATAATGTATTACCACTTAATTAACTCAAAGCCACAGATTTTATTATAGTGTTTGAAAAACACATATTATATCAAATACAACAATAAATTGTGCGATATTGTCAATTAGTATTATTAAATTAACTGAATTTATAATTAGTTAAAAATATTTCAATTCAACTTAAAGTATTTATTTTTTTAAAATAATAAACCAAAATTTTGACACAAAATGAATTTTATAAAACAATTATTATTATTACTAATTATTATTGTGTATATTTCAGGTAATAGTACAATAATGTTAAATTATAAATAAAATTATAAATAAAATTATAAATAAACTTATTATTATTATAAACTATTATTTTATTAATAATTATAGCAATAAATACAGTATCTGTGTTGAGAAAATCGATAACAAAACAATTGGACGGAGAAATAATAAAACAAAATTTGTTAATTAATATTAACGATCAGTTAAATAAAACTGTAAATCATTTAAATGAATTACAGCGCAGAGGTTATCAACAATATGCCAAACCATTGGACCAATATGTGGTCAAATTGAATGCATTGAAGAACATTATATCAAAAGCTAATCCCAATACTACTGATGGACAGGTAGTACTTGATTTGGCTGTTCCTGGATTTGTAAAGTATGTAAACGAAATTAATATCATTATTACTAATAGTAATACAAGGATTGGTGCCGACAATCGGATACTTTTCAAAAATATTAATACAGAACTAAACAAATTTTATCAATATATGAATATAATGGGAAATTCAAGATTACCAAAATATCAAAATATTCAAATAATTAAATTGAATACAACCTTTGCTGGAAAAAATGCTAAACAAAACTAAAGTTAGACAAACAATTGCAAATCATTTTTTGGTAGATTGGTCATGAATTAAATTTAATTAACATACCTTAAATTATTTTCAATTAATATTGATTAAAATCAATAATAATTAAAAATAAAATATCTATCTATAAAAAAATTCAATTCAATTATTAAAATCGTAATGATTTTTTTAAAATTTAAGTTTATCAATAATAAATTTATACTTTATCATATTTTTTTAAAGAATAAATTTATTTTAAATAAGTTTATATTAATGTTTTGTAATAAATATTTTAGTATTTTAATATAATTTTCAATGACCTAGCTGCAAGCAACGCTTTTTATGTATGTCAAATTAATTATTTGATATTTTTTAATTTAATAAAAAATTTTAATTAATGTTCAAAATATTGGATTATTAAGTCCAGTATCACACACATACAGTAGATGTCGACAAACAAATAATCAACAAATATTTACAATGCTTTTAACACATATTAATTAAAATTATATTTAAGACAGTTTTGTTAATTACAAGTATCATTTATAATCAGTTATAAATAGTAATAATATGTTGAATATAATGTTATTTTTATTATATGTATAAAGAAAAAAACAATTGAAATATCATTACATTGTATTAGTTTTAAAAATTGATTGGTTGAAAATTTTATCTTTAAATTATATCCTAAATAACTACTTTTTCAGTTATCATAAATTAATAATCCTTATATTGAAAGTATTCATATATTTAGTATAATTTTGTAAAAAATTTTGATTTATATTTTCAAACATCAATTTCTTTTTCTGACAAATCCTTTTAAATTAATATATAAAAATATAAATGTAAAATAAACTTTATTTTTTAGAAACTTTATAATTTATTTTATCAAAAAACTTTATTTGTGTTATAAGTTAATTTGCTAGTATTAAATGTAACATATTATTTATTATAATATATCATAAATTACATAATATTTTATACGTTGAACTTATAATTGTCATCCGGATTTTGTTTATAAAAAATATTAAATTCATAATAATTTGACATTTAATATATAAATATTATTTATTTACTATCAATAAAACACATGAAATCCATATAAAAATTTAATTTATGATAGTTTAATACATTTTAATACCATAGTAATCTTGAATATTAATGATAGTGTGCATTTTAACAGTGCATTATGTTTAATTAAATAACTAAATTACTAATAATAAATTATAATAAAAAAATAACGCATAGATTTTTTCCCTATCATATATAAACCGATTGAACTTCAAGTTTATGACAATAAATACAAATTATTTTTTATTATACAAATATTTAACATTTTAATAAAATAAAATGAATTTTATGCATGAATTGTTGTTTGTGGTAATTCTGTTTATTGCAGGTAAAAATAGAAAAAATTATTTTTAATTATTAGTTTTAGTTATTATTATTAATATTATTAATGCAATAATTAATAAATTTAATTAAAATTTATTTATTAGCAATAAAAACGGCATCAGTTGTCAAACACTCGACTCAATTGGACGACAATATAACGAAAGAACAATTGATTGTCAATATTACCGATCAGTTGAATAAAACTGAAATAGTATTAAACGATTTAAAAGCCAGAGGTTATCAACAATTTGTCAAACAATTGGACACATATGTGAACAAAATGGTAGTTCAAAAGCAAATTGTCATCAAAGCTGATCCAACGACATTTGAGGGACAGGTATTGATTGATATGGCAGCCATAGCATTGGACAAATATGTCTCGGATATTGGTGTCATTATAGTGGCCAGTAATACACAAATTGGTGCCGACAATCGGGTAATTGTCAAAAATATTAGCAATGCTGCAACCGGTTATTATTCTGATTTTTATACATTAGCTAATACAAGATTAACCAAATATAAAGATATTGAATTAAGTAAATTAAATACTAATATTTTGGAAAATATTCTAAATAATACCCTAACAGAAAAAGCAATTGCCAAACAATTGTTAATTGATTGGCCATCAAAATAACATAAATATTTAAATCATAAAAAATATATTTGAACTTATTGATTTGTTTATCAAATTAAATAATTTAAAAGGCAATATATTTTTTCTAATAAAGCAGTTTTTCTAAAATTTCAAAATATTGTACTATATTATATCTATTATTTTCTATTTTATTTTATTTTAAATTAATGTATTTTAATAACACTTAAATATATAAATATAACTTTAAATATATAATTTCTATTGATTTTTATACTAATAAAACAAATTAATTGCTAAAAGTATTATTTATATGTACTTTATATGCTAATTAATATATGATATTAATAATAATTAAATGTAATAATAAGAAATGTAAAATAAATAAATAATATGTTTAATAAAATAATTAATTAAATTCATAATAATATTAATAATAACTATAATCATATAAGTATTAATTATGTCTATTATTGACTAATTTATTGTAATAGTCAAAATTATTTACATGATATAATAATATAAACCTATTTTCAAAGATTTAAATAAAAGTTGTTAATGAATTTTTAATTTTTAATTTTATATTTTATATTTTATATTAATTATATATAATTTTTTTGAGTTATTAAAGTACTTAATGTTACGGTAGTTAAAATCAAACATTAACAATATTATTCAATTAAAGTTAAAACTAAAAGTCAACTTATATTTAAAATTACAAATAATTTTAAGTTGATTCTCATTTTTAGGAAACGTTGAAATATAAATTAAAAACAATAACGTATTAATATAAAACTATAATAATTTAAATAAAAATTGTTTAAAATATTATTAAATAGCGTTAATTAAGAATTGTTAATTTATATGTATATAAATATTTTATACATAAGTATTAAATAACAAATATCTAAATTAACAAAAAATGTAAAAATAACAAATATAAAGATAAAAATAACAAATCTACTAATATTTTAGTTAAAGTTTAAACACAATTTTTTATAAAGTATATTATTATAATAGATTAATAAAATATAATAAAATCTTATAAATTTATAGGATTGCCCATAAACGATATGCGTTTTACTGTTGTGGCACCCATTAATGACGGCCTATTAATGTTAATTGCATTAGTTAAATTAGTTTTACCTTGGCGATACAATAGTATATCTAAAATAATAAACACTGTTAGACCAAATGTACCCAGTATCAAATTCACAATTGGTAAAACTTGGGGGTTTTGATTGATAAATTTGCCGCATATTACCGGGAATATTGCCGAAAAAAATCCGCATGAACAAACAACTAGACCGCCGGCAACGTTACTGATTTCGATTTGTGATTCGACAAATGCAAACACTGATGGATACAAAGTGGACAGTCCTATACCAATAAATATGGATCCGGTAATTAGGGCTCCCTTTCCCAGTGATAAGTAGTTAAACACCAATAATATAATATTGCCGATCAGTATTGCCGCCCAATTGATGTAAATAGAATTTTTTGACCAGTATTTCATTGATAGGAAAAAACTTATTAAACAATAAGCGAGAAATGAGACCGTCATTATAGTAAGCATGTGGTCACCCTTGTTGGGTGGCATATGTAGGTGTGAGTACTCCAAATAGGTTGGCAACAGTTGGAATGTCATAAATTCAAAACCTATTGATTTTGATATTTTTAAAAGATTAAATACTTAAAGAAATTTTAATTTATTAAAATAATAATTTTAAATTTTTATGCAATAATGATTATAGTATTAGTTATATAAAATTATTCTCATAAGAAATAATGTTATACTAATTTAATAATAATATTTTAAATTAGTACTCTTTTACTTTAAAAGAATAAGAAATTAATTTATAATATTTTTTTATTAAGTGCTTAAAAGTTATAGTTAAATATCTATTAATTTGTTAATAATAAAAAATAATGATAAATGATATCTAAATGTTAGTTGATAATAAAAATCCAATAATAATAACATCATTATTTATAAAAGCGCTTAAAACTTATTGCGAAATTTATCCATTAATTTCAGGGTTAAGCAAGGTTTTGGATTTTAGGGGGGGGGTAGACAGGGGTGAAATTTACAAAATTCTCGAAAAATCTTAGGGGTGGGGTATTAAGTGGACTAAGATTTTTATTGCATTTTTAAAAGGCAATTTTTTCAAAAATCCAAAATCAAGGGGTGGGTCAAAATAAAATTCCCTAAAGTTCCCTTAAATTCCAGAATATTCCCATGTAAATTCGATAAAGTTCCCATAATTTCCCGGGAAAATAGGTAAAATTACCAAAAATATAAAAAAAATTAAAAATTAATAAAAACAATAAAAACATAAATTTTAACAAAAAATAAAATAATGTATTTAAAATTTAAAAATAGTTGATAAAAGCATTAATGATACACTATGAGTTATTTTTAATATTTTAATAATTTTTAACTTTTAACATAATTAATTTTTTAAATAATAATTAATGTTTATAGTTTATAAGTATTTTATATTTTTTAAATATTATTTTTATACAAAGATTGACTGAATACTAATTATTTAACTCAATTTTTGTTAAAGTCTTAGTTATATAATATAACTTATATTAATTATAAAACTGAAAATATTTTCTAATTTTTTATTTAAAATTTTAAAAATTATTAATAAAAACTTTAGAATATATGTATTTAGTGTTTTACTAACTTTTTAAACTATCTTTAATATCTATAAGTTGTAATATAATTACACTTTTCAACAAATAAAAAAAAATATATTTTTTTAGATTAATATTTTCAATAAATTATTGTTATTTTTAGATGAGTTTTAATGTTATTTTTAGATGAGTTTTAATGTTATTTTTAGATGAGTTTTAATGTTATTTTTAGATGAGTTTTAATGTTAATTTAAGTATTTTACTTATTTTTAATCAATAATTAAATTCATATAAATTTTAAAAACATAAAAACACTAAATAAACTAAAATTAAAAATTTTTAAAAACTTCGGAGCCTAAATTTTGAGGGGTCATTTCTCCTAGTTTTTAAGCGACAATTTTTCCAAATTGGTCAAAAAGTCTGGGGGTAAAATCCTAAAATCTCAATATTATGGGGGTATTTTGGTCTTATCCCCTACCCCCTTACTTAACCTTGATTAATATATATTAAGTTGTTAAAAATAATATATAATGATAAAAGATAACTAAATGCTAAAAATAAAAACCAGTAATAATAATAACATTAATTATTTCTAACTTACCAACATATGGTCCAAGGGTAAACACCAATAAACAGATATAAATCAATTTTGATTTATCTGGCCATTTGCTAGTATTGTGGTCAGTCGACTTTTGTTCAACATTAAGTGATGTCAGCTTTTTAGGCGGTGTATACCGTCTATAGAAATGTATGGCTAATAGCAACAGTGCTGACAGTAATAAAAGTGCGCCCAAAATAATAAACGGTATTTCAATGTTACCGTAATGTAATTTGTTATCAATGTTTTTATTATTATTATTATCTCCGACAGTATTATTAACATAATTATTCGCAACCAAAAAACTTTTATTTAATTTTATTAGTCGACTGTTGTTTAATTGGTTATCTAATAGATTATTTGGATGATAGTCGGATACAAATGGTGCCGCGAGCACCGGACCCAATACGATGCCCAACGAGAAAAATACCTGATAGCCACCCATATAGATACTAGACTTTTCGGCCCATATCTCGACTATCCAAACTACTAGTGCAGTATCTAAGCCTATTATATTTTAAAAAATATTTTTAATTAATAGTGAACAAAAAAATTAAATATAAGGTAATTTAAACAAACATATACCTCCTGTACAATAGCCTCCTAAAAATGCCAGAGTAAACAGCACACTAAGATTGGGACTGTAGGGTATGGCCGGTACTACACCAGCCATTATTAACAATATTACAACCAGTGATAAGTGTCTATTCACATAAGTAAATGTTATACTATCTATTTAAAGACAAAAAATAAATATTATAAATATGTATATTAGAAATGTATATAAATCAGTAAATTTATTTATGTTATAAATAATATATTTATCAATATTTTAAAATAATAATAATAATATACTTAATATGGCTCCAATAAAATAGCCAAAATAAAAGCACATAAATATATATGAAATTTTTTCAGTAGTTGTATCATATTTTTTTGTTAAATCATGTAATACGGGACCGATAACATTGATGATTAGTCCCTATAAAATTAAAATAATTAAATAGCAAATAAATAAATTATTTAAATAATATAAACAAAATTATAAATATTAAAGACATTATTCACATATGAAACTGTAGCTAAATATAAGCTCCATGTTATCAATTGTTTATGTTTGTTAGTAATCGGAGCAACAATTTTTAATTGTTGCAACTTATCGTTATCAGTTGATCTCATTGTTTAATATACTGTATAATTAAAATAAAAAAATTATAAACATTACATTACTTAAGTACTATTAAAATATATAAAATTCATAAACTTTTTTACATAAATTAATAAAATTGACTTGATTGATTTAATAGACAATATTTGTATAATTTTTAAAATTTGTGACTTGTAAATTATTATACTATATTATAACTATATAATATTTTTTATATAATTTAATTCATATTCTAATTAATACATGATATTAATAATAATTAATTAAATATAATAAAATAACTATTATGTCTACTATTTTTATAATTTATTGTAAAAGTAAAAAAATTATATAAATGACATCATTATAGAAATGTTATTAACAATTCTTATATATAAATAAAATTTGTTAATTCATTTTTTAAAAAATTATATCTATTAATTGAAATTAAATATTTAATTTTTAGAATAAGTATATGACGTATTGACGTTAACTAAAATGACAAATACTTTTAATTTGATTATCATTTTATAAAACGTTGAAATAAAAATACAAAAATTAAGATTATCAATTTACATAATAATATATAATAATTTATATTATAATTATTTCGAATATTATTCAAATGAGTTAATTAAAGTTTTGATAATTTAC